GAAGAGGTAAGCAGATGTCTACTATAATTTCAAAATAGACATTAACGTGCTCATTAAGAATAATTAGAACCTCGATAAATACCAATTATTCTCAATAACCAAGCACATAATCCGACATCATCGTTGGTTATTGTCGAGGTTATTGTGTCAGATTTTTCCTCGGATTTTTCCACAACTATTCATCACAGTTCATTTTCTGTATTCATTCATATATTTTTGCAACTGGGTTTTGGAAGGATACGAGGAAGTATATTTTAATCATAACAATCGGGAAAGATCGAAAGCTACAATTTAAAAATTGGAGACCACTTTTGCATGGAAAATAACTAAATCTCGATTTTCTATTCATCGATCGAACGCTATTTTCAAGCTGTGTTAGTATTTTGGACACAATGAAACGAGTTATCAAATATAAACGAATAGCACTGCTAATTTGTTTTAAAAAATGGTTCTTTGTTCAGGCATTCCACATAACTACCTACTATACGACCCGTAGGTACAGCTTTTATTATGTTCTCTTTTTTCTATTGCTATTGGATGATGGAAGTCATAAAAATGAAAAGCAATTCAGTTATTTGGATCCATGTCGGTATTTGCCTTGGTATTTGTGACAGAATTATTATATTATCCTTATTATCTCATCTATAAATATGTTTATTGAAATTAAAATACTCGTCACTAAAATTACGTTTATAACACTTGGTACTTACATTATATACTTATAAATGGTCCTATCTTTTTGACAGTGAACTTTCGACACTTTTCATGAAAAAATCTTATTGGTGATCGTTTTCGAGATACCTACCTATATATTTACAATTTTTCACATCGATGCAGGCCGGATTGATGCTTGAAGCCCGTTGGGCCATATACTTTGGCCAGATGATTCCAATTGTTTCATTATTGACTATAGTAAAAAATATTACCTACCCAGACAGCAAAGAATATTCTGTGAATATTCAGACAACGTTCAAATATACTTATTTGAGAATATTCTGATAGAATGTTCTCAGAATGATCATAAATATTTTCATCCTGCAAGAAATAGGTATTCTATGAACATTCAAATTGACATTCTCCTCGATATTCTCAGAATATCATTTTCGAATATTCTGAGACGAGTTTTGAGAATATCGAGGAGAATATACCTCGGAATATACAGATTCGTATCAAAATATGATAATGATGTTATTCTTGTATAAATATTCATGTTTTCTCTCCCAACCTATTACTCCCTATAGTCTCAATCGAGGTCTCAATACTACCTATCCTACTAATGATGAAGTGTTGAAGTCTTGCCATTCATATTATTATTCATCAATAAGGTTCATAGCCCAGTGGAAAAGGTGCGAGGTTTGTAAAAACCGAGGTAAAAACTGAATTACAAGAGAGTAGGTTCGCATCTTCGATGGCAGATTTTTCAGAATTCTCTTCCTTCTCTCGCTTCCATAATATACCAGGAATATTCAAAATATTCGATCCCGAATATTCATAGAACGTTCCTAAAATATTTGTATCATATTGTGAGAACGTTATATGAATGGCATTGAGCTATCTGGGTATATTGTTTAACGAACATGGAATGAGTCATTTCCCAAAAAAGCATGAGCCGTATGCGAATGCTGCAAATCATGCGAGAGGGAAATTAACTGAAATCAGCATTCCGTGCGAGTTATACACTATACTTTTTTTACGACTGACAGATGATAGCTTGGATAATAGCTCGGATAACAGTGAGGATAATGGAGACATTTTTTATTTCTTGGGCTTGTAGCCATCTGATTTCATCTTAAAGTATACCCATTTCTAATGCTCTATTTATATTAGACCGAGTAGACATTTATTGTGAAATAATATCACAAGTAATTGTATTATCAGATGAGGAAATGATATTGAAAATATACCTTACAATGTAGGTATTTATCAAAAACAGTAAAGCAAGGGCAATTTTGTGTCTCGGGTATTGCCCTCGGTATTGTAGAAGTGTTTTATTATTGAACAATAGGTAGTAAAGGTTTTCTTAGGTGAAAGAAAATAAATAACATAATGGTGTGATATACAGCTGTTATTGAAAAAATCTACAAAAATCCTAGCAAGAATCTCGAGAAAAATCTGATAGAAACGATTGAGCAAAAACCTACAGAACAAGTCCATTCACCTCTCGATTCACCTCTTTATCTAAAAATCTAGGTAGGTAGGACGTATTTCAGTGCTTGCAGCCAAATTTTGCATACCTACCCAAGATGTTGTGCCATATCATATTGCATTGTTCGATACATACACAACATAGGTAGGTATGAGGTCTCGGTATAGGTAGTTTTCCGTATGTAACACCATACATTTCGATACCTTCCAACCGGTTAGCGAGAGATAATTCAGGATAAAATACCTACCTACTTTTCTGCATTTTTTCATCGGCTGCAGATCTTTTCTTTTTACCCCGATACGAGAAATCACGCACAAAAACTTCCATCCTCCGAGGCATTGAAAAATAACAAAAGAGAATTCCTCTCGAGAATCACAAGAATTTCTGAAAGGCAGGTATCTTGATTATAGGGTTAATGAAACATGAAATGATAAAAATTTAATTCCAACCGAGCAGAGACCAAGGGCTAGATTGATTTTCGTTTGGTCGTCCCGAATTGAATATTTAGCACGAGCTAGACCTAGGAATTATGCCCACTTTGCTAGATTCTAGGTGATGGGTCGTCTAAAATTCTTCGGTCGAGCCATCGAACGTCGATCGTTTCGATACACATTCCAGCTAAATCTAATTTCTCATTAATAAAAATGAATATTCTATGTATCTTTAGCGCCTACTCTCTTAACTACCCTAGAACGTATTGATCAATAAATCAAATTATAATCACAATCATAAAAATATACAAAGGTGAAATGATAAGACATGGCTTACCTATTGTTGAAAGTATATGGCACATAATTGGGAAAGAAGTAGCACAAATTCATCCAGAAACAACACACACATTCACCCGATCGTCCACTATTAGTTTACAGTCAGGTACGCGTCATATTAGTGGAAATTCCAGTGAAATTTCACGGAAAATGTATCGACAGCACTTCACAAAGTTCACTTCTTGCAGCAACATTCCATTGCCATTTTGTCACTGCACAGCTTCTCTGGTTAGACGGTGGCGACACCTGAGGCCGGTGCACGCAAAAGCATTCCCGAAGAAATCTCGTTGGCGCTTTCGGAGCTTTTATTTTGCTGGCCGTTTTTAAAAGTAGTCCGGCTCGGTAAACTCCTGGTTTTCAGGAATATTTCCACTGAAATGTACTTTGCTGGACGAAACATATAGGAGTAGAAGTTTTACTTCAAGAGAAGATCGAAACCAGCTATGAATAATGCGATAATCGGGAGATATCTTTGGGTCATATTTTCTTTGAATATCGGTTTGTACATAGGCAATTCGACATACACGTGTGGTGTACGGGTGTCTGCCTACATGTCATGCATCAGCACTATTTTCGTGGGAAATTCAGTTCAGCCTTTTTGGATATACTATATTTTGTATAAAGATTGTAGGTATTTCGCATATTGTACTCTTCTATTGGAGAAATAGCCTCAGAAAATAACTGCACCTTCAGTTTGATTGAGTACTAACTAAATCTGTAGAAGCCCCTTTTCTGCCATTGGCGTAGAATTTTTAAAGGTGCAATTATTCAAAAAATCAAGTTCTACGGCTATGGGTTTGAGTATGAAATTCGGATTGGGTACTCATTTACTACAAAAAAGTACCCTTAACACTCGATTTACTCTAATGGTTTTGACAAAGTTTGTAGTTTGATAATTATATATTGTTTATGTTCTAAAATGGGCTTATATCACAAAAAAATTTTATTTCATAATTCGATAGAACTCACCCAAACTAGCTCACCACCGCAAACCGTTTCTTGCTGTGAGCTCCCTACGTTTTATAAAATATTATTGAAATCCCCGATTTTTTGGACCTCTGAAAACGAGGAGATGATGTGACGTCAAAACCCTAATACTGAAACAAGACTAGACTAGAACAAGAGATGAATGATACATGATTTCTGACAAAGTGAATTAGCGCGAGATCACATTTGAAAGAATTAATATATCAGTTGCCTCAGTCTCCGTCGGATGTTTGGTATTTTCTTTTAACTATGACGAGATGAGGTTTCTACGTCATAAGAGGGTCCGTTTTCTCAGAAGGTACTATTATTTATGTCCAAAAATGAAACATTCCAGATAATTTTTCGGTCGAATTATGTCGTCAATTATTAGTTATGTATAAAAGGATCATTATAAACATGGTTTGAGTTAAAAGTTCTACTGAGGTGTACACGCCCATTACTAAAATGCAAATTTCGTCAAAGCCATGATAGCAATCGAGTCATATATCAGGAGTACCTTTTTTAAAGTAAATGAGTTGCGCAATCTAAATTTCATACTCAAACTCCTGTTCTTCCATTGGTGTAGAATTTTTAAAGGTGCAATTATTTAAAAAATCAAGTTCTACGCCTATGGATTAATATCGGACAAAATTTCAACACCATTTCTTTTGTCACATAAAACTCTATCAATATGTCAAATTTCAGCAGAATCGCATATGCCGTTTTAAATTTATATGGGAAAAACGATTTAAAAATTGTAACTTCTAGGCCCTCTGGAGCCCAAACGATGCAACTGTACTGAGGTAATTTTACTTAAATCGACTAATTTTGGTCTACGGAATATGTGGTATGTTTTTGTAAAGACCTTTTACAGACACCCTGTATATTATAGGTGTCCCTTTCAGAGATTCCTAGTAAACTGATTCATTTAGTCAATTAGTTTATTCAGTAAATAGTTTTGTCATATCCAAAAATTTTGAATTTACGTACTTCAAGTGGAACACTGTCGATTTTCTTTCATGAATAATACTATATAAAGTTAATTATCAGCTGATGTTAATTCATCATTGTACGTTCACAAAATTGAATTAAATTATTAAAAATATAAGGAATGATAAAAAGAATCTTTAATGCATATTTATTATGTTACAAACTTAAAACATTAGGACATGAACTGAAAATGAAAAACAATCAATTAAAGTTCTCAATGAAATGAGTGACAATATGAAAATTATCGCCCGATCTTCATAGGAAATACATAAGCTATAAAATTCAGCTCAAGTTCAATTTTAGCTGCAAAATTAAAGAGTTCAAGAGCCATTTCATTCTTTGAGATAACCACGTGATTATGAAAATATTGATACAAACTTACAACTTACACATTGTAAAAAATTATGTTCTTTATGAAAAATTTGAGTTTATTAAGTTCCATGAAAAAATTTTTATTCTTAGGTTAATTTTTCTTTCTGTGGAGAAAGATTTGGCGTATGCTAGGTTCGAAATGTTTTCGAATTGAAGTGGAAATCAATGTTTATGAGAATGAGAAAAGTTTACAGGTGGAATTATCATGTCTTCAGTCATCTGGTTCTGGTCCTAAAGATTAGTGGGGTAAAAATTTTCAAATTGTCACCTTATAAAACAAAATTAACAACAGAATGATGTCATCCTGAAAGTTATATATAACATAATCTAAATATTGGCAGGAAGAAAAATATTCACAAAAATATGTATTTCTCTCGTTATATAAAAAAATAAAAAATCTTAGATGATACATTTCATTTCTAACACGAAATTTGAAAACAAAAAAATAGTATTACATGCAGGTCAGAATTGAATCGTCCTGATTTAAAATAATTATAATTGTTCTGTACCAGTAACTATTCACTAAAAAAATCTACCGTCAAATATTTCTTAGGGAAATGAAAAGAGGTTGAAGACTTTTAGGCCTTCTGCAATGGCCAAAAAAAAATCATGAATCATGTATTGAGTGGTGTCACAAGGAAGAAATTTCCATTTGGAAACTATGAACTATCTACAGCGTGTCTCATTTCAAAGGGCCCCTCCTCTATATCTCAGCTATCAGTCGTGCGATCTTTACCAAATTTGTATCGGTATGAATAATCATCAATATGACCAGTTCTACAAAGTCAAACATCATTTTAGACAGTGCCGTGCATTTTTATTGCAATGAATAGGGGTCAGTTTTTGATTAAATCATATTAGGCATTTTTTCACAGGAAATCTGACCTTATAATATTGTTCTTCATGGTTTCAAACCCACAAATGTGGATTTTCATAAGATGCCTATGAAGGGTTTCAGGAAAACAAGCACATCTGAACAGCATTTTTGCGAGCGTAATAATTATTTACTCGGAAACGGTGAGTTCAACATAAAAAAGTATAACTCGTTTTTCCTTCCAAATCATGATTTTCCACCTACCAGAGCCATTGAACGTTCCAAAATTCGTAGTTGATTTGAAGTCACTATTTATTCGAGACTGAAAATGAAAAAAATGAAGCTAATCCTGTTAAGTCGGAATTAGATGATTTTTTGCATATGGAGGTTTGCAAGCATGAATAAAAACGCACGGCACTGTCCAAAATAATGTGCATCTGTTTAAAACTCATCATATTGATGGTTATTTATGCCACACCAAATTTGGTTGGAATCGCATGACTAATAACTGAGATATAGAGGGGGGGGGGAAGCGTTTAATGTGAGACACGCTGTATACACAACTGGATAATTTATAGTTTTATATTAGAAGCTTCAAAAGGAAACTTTCATTCTCATTCAGTTGTGTTGATAATTTTGAGTATCGGTGGTAAAACGAAATCAACCTAGTGTAGAGACAATTTTAAATGCAAATCACCACGGAATCTGTCTAAAATTTCACAGTAAAGTGACCATTATGCAAGAACCCCAAATGAATCTTTATTTTGGAATATTTACTAGGTTTTCACAGATAGGAATGAAATATTTTGAAAGGGAATATTGAATTTCAATAAACTGCCTATATTTTGAGCGATTCATCATAATAGCTGAAAATTATATTGATTCAAATTGAAATAATGGCGTTCTGAAAAAGCTTTCCAGAGTAAATAAAATGGATGAAAATGAAAATTGAATACAGCAATAAGGAAGATGGCTTATCAGAGTCGAAGATGTAATTTCAATAGGAGTGAACATTATACATAAAAAAACCGTTATGATTCAGAATGGGAAAATTCATCAGAATTATTAATGAAGATATTTTAATGAGAGCACATCTCATGAGACATGTTTGAATTTCTAGAAGGGGTAATAATTGAATGTTTTTCAAAGAATGTTATATTTATTTTGGTGTTTGTTTCATTTTTATTGAAGTGATAATTTCAATTATTCTATTTTCTATGAATAAAATTGCTCTGGGGAAGAAGTGTCCGTGAGTGAAACACAGACTTGAGAGTTGGAAGATAATTTGAAAATATAATAAAATAGTGGTCAAAGTCACTGGAGTTGGATGATATGTACATTTATTAAAAATCCCATCTTGATCTACTGATATTTACCAAAAATTTACGAATAAACCCACTGGGAATAAAGAGAATCGTGTGAAATTCTATCAGAAACGATTGTACACAAATGAAACTTTTTTTTAAAATTGCAAGTTTGAACTGGCACTTAGCTATAATTGCCAGTTTAAACTGGCATTTAGCTATAATTGCCAGTTTAAACTGGCTTTTAGCTATAATTGCCAGTTTGAACTGGCATTTAGCTATAATTGCCAGTTTGAACTGGCAATTAGCCATAATTGCCAGTTTGAACTGGCAGTTAGCCATAATTGCCAGTTTGATCTGGCAATTAGGTATAATTGCCAGTTTGAACTGGCAATTAGCCATAATTGCCAGTTTGATCTGGCAATTAGGTATAATTGCCAGTTTGATCTGGCAATTAGGTATAATTGCCAGTTTGAACTGGCAATTAGCCATAATTGCCAGTTTGAACTGGCATTTAGCTATAATTGCCAGTTTTAAATGACAATTAGCTATAATTGCCAGTTTGAACTATCAATTAGCCATAATTGCCAGTTTGAACTGGCAATTAGCCTTTCGTACGAAAGGACCTCGCAAATGGAATGTCACAGTTTAAGCAATGACAGCTCTGTCTAAAAGATGCCCATTACTTGAGAGGAAATCAGATGGCTACAATGATTGCAGCATTATTCGCCTACGGCTCATGCTGCAAATTTCATTCTCGGGGAAAATCACTAACATTCCCTTCTTGTTGAACAATATACTATAGGTCTCTAACGACACAGTAGAGTAATTGATGCCAATAATTCATCATCAGTCCACTCGCCCTTTGCGTTGGTCGAAATGATCGTATGCGTTCGCATTAGTTCTTTGGCGTCACTAGATGGCGATAACAAGACTAGATCCTTTCGTACGGAAGCGCTAAATGCCAGTTCAAACTGGCAATTATAGCTAATTGCCAGTTCAAACTGGCAATTATAGCTAAATGCCAGTTCAAACTGACAATTATGGATAAATGCCAGTCCAAACTGGCAATTATGGCTGATTTTCAGTTCAAACTGGCAATTATGGCTAATTGCCAGATCAAACTGGCAATTATAGCTAAATGCCAGTTCAAACTGGCAATTATAAAAAAAAAGTATCATGTCCGTTCAGCGCTTTCGTACAAATTCCATTTTTCATGTTCTGTAAGTTTTACAAGGTCAGATAAATTTCAAGACTATAAGGAAGAAATATATAAATAATGTATTCATGATGTTAGGGACACGCACTTTTTTTTTGTTTAGTGACATAACATTGACATGTGAGATGTTATTTTCCAACGCATTTCCAACACTAGCTGAAGGAGATTCGCCATTTTCATTTTCTTCAACCCATAGTTTAATTGACAAGAACATACATTATTGCAATTTGTCAGCCATTACTTTCATGGTTCAAAATTTACTTTTTAGGAGAACAAAAATGATATCGGGGTTCTCCTGAAAGAGTTTTTTTTTAAACCTCACACCATTTATTCCAATACCTTTTCTTCAGAAAACACAACTGAAACATCAAACCATCTGTAAATTTTCTGTTCTATTTAAGTATGTAGTATGTAAATCGGAGCACAGAATACTTGTTTTATTATTGTAAATAGGACTATCATTCTCTTAAGGTGATCAAGTAATTATCTATCTCACTTTACTAAAAACTGTCGTTTGTTTCGTATAAAACATAAAAAATATAATAAAGCGCTATACCCTTGAACATTGTTCAATTATCCGTATAACCTTCGTAAAAACTTTAACCAACACCAAAAAATATTTCTTTGATATAAGTACAGGGTGGCTGGAATTCGAGGCTCATCATTGGGAACTCGTAAACCGTAAGAGATACAGGTTCGGTTAAATTATGGCAAAGTTGTGCAATTTTATGCTGATCAAAATGCCGCCTCAAAAGTTTGGAAATACCGATTACTCCCGACGATATTTGAAAAAAACCGAATATCCGTGATTACGTTTTTATTTTTTTGTGACTTCATTTGAAGTGATAATGCAAAATGAGTTTCATATTAGCATTGCCACTTTTTCTGCTTTATCTAATGGCATTAATAGATTCGTGTTCCGACGTTTCGTCATCGAGGAGCTATCATCAACTTTGTTTTTTTAAATGGTCGAAAATGATTTGTTTGTTCCTGAAGAACTCTAATTCCAATTCCTAATCCAACGACATATAACACTTTGCAATTATCTTACGTTTCGGACTAAAAAGTCATTATCAGTGTTGTTTGATGATGGTTACGAGGAAACTAAACGTCGAATCAAAAATCTAATGATGACAACTTGAAGAAAAGGAAAAATGGCTATAAAAATGCCAAATTCATTTTGGTCTATCTCTTATAGTAAAATCAGAAAAAGATCATTTCTTAGAATTAGAAACTTGGAGAATAAGTTTTTATTGAAAAATAGAGATAGACCGAGAGATATATTCGCCATTTTTCCTTCTCTACAAGACGCCGTCATCAGATATTTGTTCCAACGTTTCATTTCCTCGTAACCATCATCAAATAACAATGATAAAGATTTTTTGGTCAGAAACGTAGGATAATTGCGAAGTCTTGTATGAAGTTTGATTTAGAATTGAAATTAGAGTTTTTTAGTAACGAAAAATTTTTTTCGACCATTTAAAAAAACAAAGTTGATGATGGCTCCTCGAAGACGAAACATCGGATCATGAATCTATCAATGCCATTGGATAGAGCAGGAAAAGTGGCAATGCTAATATAATTTTCATTTTGACAAATGAAACCAAATAAAGTCAGAAAAAAATGAAAATAAAATCACGGATTTGATTTTTTTCAAATATCTTCGAAAATATTCGGAATTTATAAACTTTTGAAGCGGCAATTTGATCAGCATCAAATTGCGCAACTTTGCCATCCTCAAACGGACCCTGTATCTCTTACAGTTTACGAGATTCCAACGATGAGTCTCGAATTCCAGCCACCCTGTGCATGACATTCTCAGAAAAAAACAGGTCATTCAATGTTCATAGGGTAGTATGGATCTGTGATATAGCACAATAGACCAGGAAACATAAACAAAAACAACCTTTCTCAACAAAACTATCACAGTGACCTTTCTTTCAGAATCAACATTTCCAGAAAACGTCGGCAAATTAAGAAACATCTCGCCCATTCACACTCTGATAGATCTATTGTGAGATTCACAGATCGACCAGTCATTTTTCACTGAAAAAAATAATAATAAAAGCTATAAAAAAACAGCATCCGTCACACGTCATATCAGACCCTGCTTCTTCAACGCGCTGTAGACCTCTGGTACTTCTATTTGATACTTGAGACCGTCAAAGTCCTTCAAGACGACTTTCACCTGGTCACCTTCCGGTATCAACTCCTTGAGCTTCTCCAGAACTTTTTCATTGTCTGGAATGTCTAAACGGAAAATCGTCATCATAAATAAAATTAAATGAATACAATTATTGGTATTTCATTCAAAATTCGAAATATCATTCTTGTAAGACACTTAAATCACCGTCTTAGAGATGAATGTCCAACAGAACTTCGTGTTGTGACATTTTTATAGACCTCAAAATACTCACGGTACCTTCCCTTTTTATTTTAGAATCATGTCTCTTATGTGTTGAATAACAAAGACAATTTTAAGACTAAAAGTTCTCGCCATGGAGTTAATACTTGACGAGAAGATGATTTTTACATCACTTTTAGTATGATGAATATTACTCCACAGTCGCCAATATCATGACACTCAGATTTTATAACGCTCTACCTGCCGAAATTAAACAATGTAGGACATTAACTTCTTTCAAAGTATCCTTGAAACAACTATTACAAACAAAATGTTACTATTCCGTGGAAGAGTATCTTTCCAAAAATTTAAATAATAAGCTACATGCGTGTATGTATGGTAAATCTTTACCCTCACTTATTTTTTTTTTATGTTTATCAATTTACTTGTTCATCCTTTATGTATAAATAATTGAAGGTTGTTCTCATGAAAACAATTTTGAATAAACAATTTTGATAAACTCAGGAAGCAGAATTATTATAGAATATTGGATACATTCACAAAAATAAATAAATAACATTCAAGCAAAAAACATTGGTCCAATCAAGACTGCCAAGTTCTCCAAACTGTAAAGCTGATCGACTATTGAATTCTTCAGTATTCTCAACATAATCATGGCGAAAAATCAGTGGAATCAGATGAAATGGCTCGAGAGAAAACAGAAAATATAGCCAGTATTTACAGTTCACTTGCTAATATTTCTCTGTTTACGTAGCTTTTATTGTAATATACACTCGACCTTTTGTTGCGTTGAAACGCGACAGTTGCCGTTACGAGAGGAGTGTACCAACACTTGTCACCTGTAATTTTATTGTGTTATGTGTTAGTTTCCTTTTTGTATATTTTGTATTCTACTACCCCTTTGACTATTCCTATACAATTTTGTAATTGTCGACTGGAAAATTGAATAAATGAAAAATGAATGAAAGAATGAATAGAGAAAACCCCAAGAATCTTGACAAATTAATATAAGTGTCATTTATTCTTCTTTTTTTTTTTCGTTTTCTTTGTTTTTTTCTCAATAGTTGCGTTTTATTTGCAACTTTTCCGATTCGGGTTGCTACTTTCCATTCCGTCTCACTACAAGGAATGACGTGAAATGACGGTTGACAGTTGTCAAAGAATTGAATTAGATTGATGAATAACGAATCTTTCTGAAAGAAGAAGACATTCAGAAGACATTTGTATCATGAGTTTCACAAGTTTTTGACTCCCACAAGTAAAACAGGTTTCATATGTTCATTCTCAGATAAAAATAATTCTCTCCATCTCAGAGAAGTATCTCCGAACACCACAATCACTGCTCCAAATATTCGTTGATTCAATTTCTAGATTCTCAACTCTAGTATCAAGATTTTGAAATTATTTGGAGCCCCAATAGGTCGCGTGCACGAAGACCGACCCTGGAGGCAAAATATTGAAACACAACCTCATTCTTCTGTGAATTATTGAAACACAACCTCACTCTTCTGTGAATTATTGGAACACAACCTCACTTTTTCATTTGTTCACAGAGGAATCCAAAGGTTGAAATAGTTTTTCACAATATTTTGGCATACGAATCGTGTTTCTTGCGTTATTCATTAATTCAAGCATGCCTTCGCATTGTGCTGTTGTACAATGCACAAAAAATGCAGCAAGAGACTAGGGAATATGATTTTTCAGGTAAATAGTAATCTCACATAGTTAGCATTATGAAATGTTGTCATTCCTTATTAAAATTCCTTCTGCCTTCTGCCACTTCTGCAATACAAGCTAATGCTGCTAATAGATTGAAAATGTCTACAACACACTCGATCGTCAGCATGTCAGACCAGTCCTACCGATTGATTGCATGAATCCAATCTTCTTGCATTATTCTAGAAATTTTAGGTATATTTCTATTAGCTGATCCTATTGCAGAAGGAATTCCGATGAGAAATCAGAGAAATAACCAAATTTCAAAAATGAAAACTATGTGAGTGACTATAGTAGGTACTTACTTTTGAATCATAATGTACCATCCGGATTTTTTCATCTTCCGCTGCAGTTTTTGTGCATTTTACAACAGCACAATGTGATGGCATTAGCGAATTGATGAATAGTGAAAAAATACGATTCATATGCCAAAATAATTGTGGAAAACTATTTCGATCACTTGTAAACAAATATGTTTTGCCTCCAGGGTCGGTCATCTGACAGTTCTTGCACGCGACCTATATATAAATATAACCTCTAAATTCTCCTATGGGTTGCGTGCAAGAACTGTCAGAAGACCGACCCTGGAGGTGAAACATTGAACACACACAACACAACCTCACTTTTCTTATTGGTTTACAAGTGATTGAAATAGTTTTTCACTATTATTTTGGCATACGAATCGTGTTTTTCGGCTATTCATTAATTTGCGCATGCCATCACATTGTGCTGTCGTACAATGCACAAAAAATGCAGTGAGAGACAAAGGAATCCGGTTGGTATAATATGATTTAAAAGTAAGTACCTACTATAGTCACTCACATATTATAGTTTTCATTTTAAAATTTGGTAATTTCTCTGATTTCTCATCGGAATTCCTTCTGCAGTAGAAGCTAATAGAAATACGGGAGGACTGGTCTGACATGCTGACGAAATAAGATCATGTGTGTTGTAGACATTTTCAATCTATTGGCAGTATTAGCTTCTATTGCAGAAGTGGCAGAAGAAAATTACATAATGAAAACTATGTGAGATTACAATTTACCTGAAAAATCATATTCCTTCATCTTTCACTACATTTTTTGTGTATTGTACAACAGCACAATGAGAAGGCATGCTTGAATTGATGAATAGAGCAAAAAACACTATTAGTATACCAAAATAATGTGAAAAACTAGTTCAATCCTTTGACTCCTCTGTGAACAAGTAAAAAAAGTGAGGTTATGTTTCAATGCTTCACAGAAAAGTGGGGTTGTGTTTCAATATTTCACCTTCAGGGTCGTGGACGCGACCTATGCAAGGTCATGAAGTTTGTCGTTTTATTTGTAAACGTCTTTCTGTTCTCACCACCGCTGCCAGAATGGAACAAATACAACGCAACTATTATTTCACATAATCAGATTCACAAAACAAAGAGCTTGTACAGTATTCCATACAGTATTCAATCAATGAGTATCATAATGTTTCTAAAAATTAATAATTGAATTATTAATTGATGAGAGTTAAAAAGTTAACATTTAACATTATATTATACATGATATGAAAGAAAACATCAACCAACTTTTTTGGTGATATGGCTGCCTTGCAGCATCACTTACTTACTAGATAACATAATATTAATTTTCACTTCACCGTCTGACATGTGCTGGTCATTTTTGTTTTAATTTTTCTTTTATTCAAAATTCTCAAACATGTATGATTGTAATTGAAATCGCAACTGGTATTTTCTTGGACAAAGAATAAATACTTACTGACAAATTCACAAGTGATTCCTAGAATTGGAACATCCTTATACTTCTTGTTGAATTTCCTGATGTCTTTTTTGGTAACCACAATATTGGTTCCATAGTCTACAGAATTCACAGTGATCTGATCTTCATCTTTTTCCAAAACTGCGCCTCTATACCATGCAGCTGAAAAAAAAAAGAGTAATTGATTTTCATTTTTGTATGTATCTAGTAGTATAATACCAAGAAGAAACATCAAATAGGAATGCACCATAAAAAAATGAATATTATTAATAATTTATCATTTTCGTTGCAATATATATAGTATATTGACTATTCCTCCTGATAATACACAATATTTGATATTAGTAATGCCTGTTAGAGCAACAAAAAAACTACTGTACTAAGAGCAAGTATCATATATACCGGGTGATAAATTTAAGTTATCACTCAGGAATTCTACGACTTTTCAACCGGATAAAAACAATCAGAGAAAAATCCCAATCCCTTTGCACTTGATAAGGTTTTCAGAGACTTAGGTTTTGGAAGCGTTTATCAGTCTGGGTCAAATTAGGTAATTTATTAGGTAATCCAAAAGATAAGGTGAACACATTTGATAAGTCAGGAATATATGAAATCAGTTGTAATGATTGTGATAAAACATATATAGGTCAAACCAGGCGTCCCATAAAAACAAGGTTCAAAGAACACTTAGCACATTTGAAATATGGTAGGTTAGATAAATCGTGTGTACACACGTCCAATCACAATCATAACAAAACACAATCATAACACACATATCAATAACCTCAAATTAGTTGAGCAAGTTAATAATGTTAGGAAATTAGATGCATATGAGAGCTTAGATATTTAAGAATAGTAATAGAGCAATGAATAATAATATAACATGTGAACTCAAACATGAATAACATTAACTTGGCGGTTGGGTGGACATATTCTTAGTATATAAGTAGTCCATTAGGATAGAGCATTTAGTTTCTATCTTCTCCTGAAGATGCTAACATAGTTAGTGAAACACGTGTTGAGGTGTCAAAATCGATTTGGTTAGTGGTAAAACAGTGTGTAGTGTATAGCAACTTTTGATGACGTTTAACGTGGTGTTACCAATTTTTTATGCGACGTTTCGTATTCGTAGAACCATCATCAGAAATATTCATGCCTAACTTTGAATTGTCCATTTGTCAGCACCCTAACTTTGGTAAAATCTATTTTTTGGCACCGACATGTTGATCATATTCTTGCTTCTTTTTAAAGGTACTTGAGCTCAATGATTTTCTTTTTTTTTTGAATTCTATTAATCCTAGAATAAAATTCACAATGGAAATTGGATCTAACAATCAGTTACCTTTTCGTGATACACAAAAAAAATCTTTCAACTTTCCAATTGATAGAAAACCAACAAGTACTGATAATATCATACATTTCAATTTGTTCCACCTTTCAGCCAGAAATTTTCAGCTTTCCATGCACTTTTTCATAGACTTTTTACAATACCCTTGAACAATGACAACTTTACAGCTGAATTGAATATCATTGAATAAATCGCAGTTAACAATAATTTTCCTATTCATTTAATTGATCGACATTACTTGAAATTTACCAATAAATGTTCAAATAACTTGTTGACAACTTTTGTTTCCACATCCGAATATTTTTCCCTTTCTTTCTTTGGTTCTGTTTCCATCGAACTCAGGAAGATTCTGGGGAAAAAACTCAATACCAATAATACCAGTAATTTTAATTTTTCTTTCAAAACCGCCGATACTCTAGAGGGAGTTCCTTAGTCGACACAAAAGACATGATTGATATTTTAGAAAAATCTGGTTTATAAATTAGATTGTAAAAATGATGATTGTAAAGTGTGCTACATTGGTCGGAAGTTCAAAACCAGAGTATCAAAACACAATCGCATTATAGATTTTTTCTACTCACATAACTAAAATGGCATTTAGCGTACGGATATGTACCACGCTAAATGATCGATTAATCAAGGATTGACGATCTGTGATTTATTCGAAATATTAAACACGTTACCATGGCAACACGATTTCTTAAACACATCACCATGGCAACACAGTTCATTAAACACAGCTTCAGTAATTTGAGACATATCTGGCCTGTCAATTGTATCAGCTATCAACTGTTATTTTCAAATTTTGTATCAGAATTATTCAAACAATTTTCATTTGTATCAGAAATATTCATTAATAGTTATTTATGTATTAAGGGCGTAAAGTAGGCGTTTATGGCCTGTGGCGTGAATAATGGCCCGATGGCGCTAGCCGAGGGCCATTACACGCTGAAGGCCATAAACGCAATTCACGCACGTGATACATACAAAATTTTATGCACTAGTAGTTTATTTTCTGAATCGAAAGTAATGACTATAGATTTCGATAAACTAATATTTCCCCGAATTTAATTTGTTGCGTATTAATTCAGTAATCAAGAGAAGCGTGATGTTCATGGATGATTTACATATGAAAATTATCGTACGAATATTGCAATTATCGTAATAGTAAAACTCTTTCAGCTCTAGAAGGGATTCTTCAGAGTTTTACAATATACATACCCAGTATATAAACCTAACTTATTTAATTTTGACGTTGTCAATCAATCTGATGGTTGTTGTCGATAGCAATACATCCAATGAACGAGCTTAATTGTCATTCTTTGACTGAAAAGTAAAATTAGTGATAATAATAATAGCGAGACTATGGAATCGGATGAAGAAGAAGTTTATGATATACCGCTGGATATATTAGAATCTAGGAATATGATCATAGGTTTTTCATGAATTGATATGTGGATATAAGGTGACTGAGAACTGCGGGCGGTAAAGTGCACTTTACGGCCCGTGGGCCATAATGAACCCGCGGGCGGTAAAGTGCGACTTAACGCCCGCAAAACCGGGCGGTAAAGTGCACTTTACTGCCCGCTAGTGCATAAAAATATAAGCGAAATGTAGACGAAAGTGAAATCGAAGAGAATGTTCTGGTACTCCCTTCAATCGTGTCAGTCATTAAAGAACGAAACATCAAGACTTTCGAAAAAGCTGAGGTTCATGAGAATCAGCTTCTTCGAAATGCAGTTGATTATGACCCAGGTGATCAATCAAAGTTCAAAAGACCGAGATTGTCCATAAACTAGAGAAAATATCGACATTATGACCAAATTTACTATTCTCAAGTTTTTGATATTTATTTTTTCCGTTCGATCTCTTTCAATTCTTAGAATGTATTTCTGAAACTTATTTGGGGCAGAAGGGCTGTTCGCATCAAACTTCAATACCGTTTTTATTTTGCTCCATAATAGATATCAGGATAAGAGGGACTCTTCCCTGGTCTGAATAAAATAAAAGAAAGATCCAATATATATATAACCATAGATTAACGACTCCCCTAGATATACACCGTGAATGGGGATTTGGTCAACACTGAAATTAGTGAAACAGAACATACACAGATGTCTCCAGTATCCTTGGTGCGAATAATTCATCCGAGGTCCAGGCAGTCTGTGGTCTATTTATAGCGCCGTGCACCCTCGAAACCGGCTACGCGTGACAGCGTTGCCAGAATGTGGCATACACTCTTATTACCATTCTTGGATAAAAAATCAGATCAGAATAAAAATAATTATTCTGCATCTTCTCTATAAAAATGAATGTTTGTCTGTCTGTCTGTATGTCCTCGATAAAATCGTAAACTGCTCGACTGATTTGGATAATTTGTTTTTGTTTATTCCGTTATAGTTCAGGGATGGTATAGGTAGAAAAAAAATTGAGAAAATCAAATATGGCAAAAATTGAAAAAATCAAATATGGCAGACGAGTTTTGTAATTATGGACCGATTTTATTCAAAATTGGTAGCTGGGGGTTTTCGGGGTCGGAGATTATGATTCTTTCGTCAAAATTAGGAAAGTCAAAATGGCGGATTCAATATGGCGGACGAGTTTTGTGATTATTGACCGATTCTATTAAAAATTTGTATCTAGGGGTTTTTGGAGTCGGAGATTATGATTCCGTCGTTAAAATTAGGAAATTCAAAATGGCGGATCCCTTATGGCAGACGAGTTTTTTAATTATGACTAGATTCAATTGAAAATTGGTATCTAGGGGTTTTCAGGGTCGGAGATTATGATTCTTTCGTCAAAATTAGGAACTTCTAGATGACGAATCCAATATGGCGGGCGAGTTTTGTAATTATGGACCGATTCTATTCAAAATTGGTATCTGAGGGTTCTTGGGGTCGGAGATAATGATTTCGTCGTCAAAATAAGAAAATTCAAAATGGCGCATCCAATATGGCGGACGGGTTTTGTGATTATGTTCCCATGTTTGTCTATATGTCCGTTATATAATCGTTAACGGCACGACCGATTTCGATGATTTGATGACTCAAAATAAATTGAATATTTGTGTAATGTCTTTCCTTTAAATTTATTTTAGTTGATGGCGAACCAACGCGCCCAGGGTACAGCTAGTTTATAATATATTTGTCTGATAACCATCATATTAATATTACCTATATCATGAATCTGTTATACAAAAACACTTGAGATATGATAAAAGCATGAGTTGAAATATGATATGTTGAAAAGTTGAGAAGTAGAACATTAATTCTTATGGAGAAAATTGGAAAACTTGAATAAGAAAAAGTATGAGATGTTCATTTCAGAAAAGCTGAAAAATATGAGCTTTGAGATATTGGGAATTTGAGGCAAAATGTGATTTAGCAAGACCAAAAGGTTGAAAAGTTGAGAAATTGAAAATTTTGAGAAATCGAAAATGTTGAAAGACAGTGAAGTCGTGTGCGTTACAAACCTGAAAACTTGAAAATTTGTAGAAAAACATAATAGGTACTTAAGAATTGGAGAGAGATAAAGGGTTGAAATAGTGGATGATGAAATGAACAACAAACAGGTTGAAGAATTGAAAAGTTGAAATGTATGAGTATGAATGGTTTTGGAAGTTGAAAATTACAGAGAAATGGATTGAAATTGGGATGAAATTGTATAAAGTGAGAATTGAAATATTCAACAATGTGAAAGTGAAAATGATGAAAAGTCAGAAAGCTGAACAACAAACAGGTCGTAGATTTGAAAAATTGAAGTACAGAAAATCTGAGATGTTGAGGATAATGAGAATTTGAGACAAAATTCAATTTTGAAAGACAGAAAAGGTGAAAATTGAGGATAAAAAATGTAATGGATTGATATATCATGTATGCGTACATGGTGACAAGTTGCATAATTAGAATATCTATTTGATGGTTCGAAAGTGAAAGTTATTAAAAGTTGTAATTGTTGGATAGCTGAATTACAAACAGGTTAGAGGAATTGAAAATCTGAAGTGTACCTATAAGAGTTGAGGTTTTAAAGTTCTAAAAATTTGTTGTATAATTGAAAAGGTACTCAATTTATGAATTTATGAACAGAACCGAGAACAGAACAGTTGAATTAATTGAAATTTGAATTTTAGAGAAATGACAAAAAAATCACATGAAAGTTTTATATATTACTCAAAATACATTACACATTTCATAGAATAACGACTCCCGATGATCTATACACTACGTAAAATATCAAGTTTTGATTTATTTGATACATTCCTACTCTTCTTCTTAATCGAATATTTTTCAGACGTCGACATCCATTTGCACTCTTTATATAATTTTACTACAATCAAATGATTGATGAGGAATTCAAAATGTATCATGCAGTCATCTGTTAACATTGATGATATCATATTATGCTCCGATATATTTTTAAGCTTCATTTTCAATTTCTTAACAATATTATTTGATGAAGAGGAAGTTGTACTATGATATAAAGCAATAATGCAAGGGTTTCGTAGTCCCTAACTTTTCAGGGTCAGTTTTCATTTTGAGTATATGAGAAAAATTGTACATACTCGTGAAGATATTATCTATGTTCCTGTCGTCTTACTTTTTCGAAATTCGATACGGTTCCGCCGGAAAAAAAATTGGAAAATCATCCAAAAACACGTTATTTAGCGATTTTTTTAGAAAAAACTGAATCAAATTTCGAAAAAGTGAGACGACAGGAACATAGATTAGATCTTCACAAATATGTACTAATTTTTTCAACCACTCAAAATGAAAAATTAACCTAAAAAGTTAGGGACTACGAAACCCTTGCATGGCAACAATTTGTATCCAGAGAGTGGCGCCGCTCTCAGAATTGATAGGAATTAACATTTATGAATGGAGATGGTATATATACATTTCTCATTTGCAATGTTTACGAGGGTCTGGCATGTGTAGAAAATACAAATTTCATAATTTCAGTGGGATATCAAATTATCATTATTTCATATCATTTCAGACTGCTTTAAAATACCTATAGAAATTCAAGAATATACGGCAATGTTATTACGGTGAGGCTCTCACAATTAACGATCATATTTCTTGGGTTCTCGAAACATGGAAAACCTAATTATTACCTATTTTGAAAAATATAACGTTATCAACGTTTATTTACGCGTATAATTTGAATTAGGATTACCTCGGAATAATGACGGTCGAATCAGAAACAATTATTGTGGAAACGATAGAAAATCTACTGCCATCCAGTTCTAGGCATATCAAAAAAATTGTTATCGCAATAAAAAAGGATGCGCTTTTTTATCGGTATCAAAGTTTTTTTCACGACGACTCATTAGCGCTGCGGTTTGACACGCATCTTCTGACCCTCGCCGCATGATTTACGACCTTTTATAAAAAATAGGTACCGCTGTTTGCTGCCAATGGAAAAGAATTTATGATTTGTGCACAGTGGGAGTATTGCGATTTTGAAATATTTTCAACAATGACGCAGGGGCCGTATAATTTGCTGACCTATATTAGAGTATGCTGACCGAGCATTTCTGATTCGATTTTTTTTTTCAAATTGCATATCTGAATAGAATATAGATATATAAATGCCACCAGTGAAATTATTATTATTCTCAATTTATTTTTTAATTTTTGATTATCGCTAGCTGGATTTTTCGATTTACTCTCAACGAGCCTTTTCATTTGATACTCATAGTGTAGAAGTATATTGAAAATAGATTCCGCCATCTTGGATGGTTCGCCATATTGAATTTAGAATAACGTCACATTCTTTCTCGAATTACTATCAACGAGCCCTTTTATTTGATACCCATTTTGTAGAAGTAGATTAAAAATGACCATTCCGCCATCTTGGATGGTCCGCCATATTCGATTTAGAATGACGTCACATCATTTTTCGAGTTACTCTCAACGAGCTTTTTCATTTGATACCCATATTGTGAAAGTATATCAAAAATAGCTATTCCGCCATCTTTGATGGTCCGCCATATTGGATTTAGAATAACGTCACATCATTTTGCGAATTACTCTCAACTAGCCCTTTTATTTGATACACATATTGTAGAAGTAGACTAAAAATGACCATTCCGCCATCTTGGATGGTCCGCCATACTCGATTTAGAATGACGTCACATTATTTTTCGAGTTACTCTCAACGAGCCTCTTCATTTGATACCCATATTGTGAGAGTATATCAAAAATAGCTGTTCCGCCATCTTGGATAGTCCGCCATATTGGATTTAGAATAACGTGACACAACTTATCGTGCATTGTAATCCAAACTGAACGTGCATACAAAATTTCAGCTCAATCGGTTGAAGATTTCTACTTCAAAATTGAGTTCAAAGATTCCACCCGAACATACATACATATACATCCATACAAACATACAATGCAAGTTAAATGAAAGCTTTTGAAATATTCAAGGACAGAAAATAGAAAAATGGAATATAGGTATTTTTGAAGAATGGCCTTCGATGATATGATTGTTCTCTCATAAGAATGATATATAAAATATATTTTTTCTACAAACGTCAAAAAATGACAAGGTTCGCGCATTGATAACAAATTGCGAAGTGACACTTTTTTCAGTTTCCTACGTTACCATGATACCTTGCACAAAACAATGCGCGAAGTAAAACAGTGCACGAAGTACCTACTTCGCGCATTGTTACGTAAAATATATGAGATATTTATATTTCAACCTCATAGTCCTCAATCGAGCAAACATCCACGAAATCATTTATTTCTGGATGTCCAACAATAACTTTGTTCTATCTCTTGAAACGCACGAAAGGAAATTCCTATTTGGTATGCTCGTGGAACATCGTGCGTAACTAGGGAAAGGGGAAGGCCTTTTAAGCCAGTTCAACACTATTTTTTATGTCAAGCTAAGCATATTTTTACATTAGAACTATATTTTTTGACGTTCGTAGAAAAAATGTTGTTTGCAACTCGAGCGCGAAATACTTTGGTCATCTCGACTATTTTTTTAACTCGGGTTCGCCTCTTTGAAAAAATCAGATCTCGATCACCAAAGTAGCATTTCGCGCTCTAGATACAAAAATAACTATTTTGTCTCACGACTGTTTTGTAAAGTGAAATAATCTATTGAATCTCGTTTCGTGAATACTATTTATCAAAAACTTTACTATTCATTACAAAGCTCTTCCGCCATATTGAATCCACTATCTCGAATTTTCTATAATTTTGTCCATTAATCTTTAACCTCGAAAACTCCCAGATACCAATTTTGAATAGAATCCGATTATAAATTACAAAACTCGTCCGCCATATTGGATCCACCATATAGAATTTTTGACGAAGGAATCATAATCTCCGACCATGTAAACCCCCAGATACCAATCTTGAATAGAATCTGATCATAATCACAGAACTCGTCATATTGGGTTCGCCATCTCGAATTTCCTAATTTCGAAGAATTTTTGAACTTATTATCCCATATTTCAGATGAATACAATAAAAAATCAAATATCATGAAAATTGTTCCAGCCGTTGTTGAATTAAAAATGGTGTAACTATCACGAATTTGGACTTCCTTGTATATAGACAGATCTAAACATTCTAAACAATCTAAATTCATCGATTGTTTACCCTTAAAACAGTGCCCCATATCCAAATGCATCTTCAGCTTCTAAACTCTGGAGTTCTCGATCAATTGAATTTCCAAAATTTCTACTTTCTCACACTCATGTCCATTTATTTATTGTCAACTCACGTTCTTGAATTTTCCAGCTTCACATAGGTAGGCACAATAACACATCATGAGTAATCATAATTCGAGCACAATGGAAAACTAATAAAATAACATAATACCATAGATTCATAGATTAAAGATTGAAATCTCTTATACATACCAAGGAAGTCTTATACTGAAAATAATTGTGGTTGCAGTATCGTAGATTAATAATAATCTACATGTACCTACCAATATATTAGAAATCCAACAAAAACTAACATTTGACAACTCCGCTTCTATACGCTGAATGCCATGTTACAGAAATCTGTAAAAAATCGAATTTGCGACCACGCGCGGTAATTCGCAATAGCGGCGATAGATGGTAAAAATTCGGGGTCCCAACTAAATCCCAAACAAGCGTTACCGTCTGAATGCATGGGCGGTGTATATCTAGGGGAGTCGTTAATCTATGATATAACCAATATCACTTATACGTGTCTCGCTGGTTGCATGCGTTGCATGTATTATGTTTTCAATTCCCATTCCTTTCGAATTATTTTGTAGGTTAGCAAGAATAGCAGGTATGTTAATGTTATTTTCGGAGTTCGCAGAAAAAGCATAGTATGTAACGCGTTTATAAATTCTTGTAGACACTCGTTTTTTAAACACTCGCTCCGCTCTGCTCCGCTCGTGCTTAAAATACTCGTTACTAAATGGACGTTTATAACACTAACTTGTTACATAATATACTATTTTGAGTGTAGTTATGTTTTTCCTAACCATATTATCAATGACAAACACACTTAAAAATAGTTTTTTCATGTTTTTAAATAAGTTATCTTTTTCCACCAATAATGGTAGGTACATTCAGATTTTCGAACAATACTCAAAAACTCTAACATAAGCATTGTTTCTTCTCGCAGATTTTTGTTTTACAAATTTGCTGATGATGAAGGATTGACCCTTCGAAACTTGTCCTTATGTCCAATCAATAAAAAAAAAATGTGGTGGAGTTGTGACTGTAAGTTCTTTCACCCCTCCTGATCTCTATATTTCTCTATTGCTCTGAGGTATAATCCACGAATTTCTCACCTTCCTCGTCGTCGGGCCCCTTGTACGCCACCATGCACATCTCGAACATGCCCGGCTCGTAGGCGGCGTCGTCCTCCACCACCAGATCGGTGACCGCCTCCAGGTACTTGAGCGACTCGTCGGTGAGCGAGATGAGCGTCACGTTCTCCACGTCCTTGATGGTGTAGCACATGAAATCCTCGGTGGCTCCCACCTCCGCCTTGATCCAGTCCATGTGGTCGTACATGACAGGAGATTCGTCCACCACTGAAAAAACGAGCATCACTAAACAATAACCGACTTAGATCACAGAGGAATAGATGCTGCTTCTACAAAAGTTATATATTAGAGTTATTGCAAAGCAAAATAAGTTTTCATTAATTATGAGGAACTTTTGGCTCCCACCTCCGCCTTGAACCAGTCCATGTTGTCGTACATGACAGGAGATTCGTCCACCACTGAAAAAACAAGCATCACTAAACAATGACCGACTTAGATCACAGAGGAATAGATGCTGCTTCTACAAAAGTTATATATTAGAGTTATTGCAAAGCAAAATAAGTTTTCATTAATTATGAGGAACTTTTGGCTCCCACCTCCGCCTTGAACCAGTCCATGTTATCGTACATGACAGGAGATTCGTCCACCACTGAAAAAACGAGCATCAATAAACAATAACCGACCTAGATCACAGAGGAATAGATGCTGCATCTACAAAAGTTATATATTAGAGTTATTGCAAAATGAAATAAGTTTTCATTAATTATGAGGAACTTTTGGCTCCCACCTCCGCCTTGAACCAGTCCATGTTGTCGTACATGACAGGAGATTCGTCCACCACTGAAAAAACGAGCATCAATAAACAATAACCGACCTAGATCACAGAGGAATAGATGCTGCATCTACAAAAGTTATATATTAGAGTTATTGCAAAGCAAAATAAGTTCTCATTAATTATGAGGAACTTTTGGCTCCCACCTCCGCCTTGAACCAGGCCATGTTGTCGTACATGACAGGAGATTCGTCCACCACTGAAAAAACGAGCATCACTAAACAATGACCGACTTAGATCACAGAGGAATAGATGCTGCTTCTACAAAACTTATATATTAGAGAGTTATTGCAAAGCGAAATAAGTTTTCATTAATTATGAGGAACTTTTAGCTCCCACCTCCGCCTTGATCCAGTCCATGTTGTCGTACATGACAGGAGATTCGTCCACCACTGAAAAAACGAGCATCAATAAACAATAACCGACCTAGATCACAGAGGAATAGATGCTGCTTCTACAAAACTTATACAAGGTGATTCCAAAATAGGTGGTCAAACTTTGGGAGTATATAGAGTGAGTGAAATAATTTTCTTCTGAAGTGACCCCGAAGAAAGATACAGCCCCTCAAAGGGGGGGCTCGGAGAATGATTTTGTACTATTATCGCCAACACCTTGTATGATGAAAATCTAAAATTTTGTTTATCCACTAACTATTCAGTGCCGGTTCGAATGGAGTTAAAATCACCTCAAAATTAAATAAAGGGGTGTGTTAAAATAGGGAGGTAGGAGGTAAAAATAACCCCAACTTTTTTGTTCATCGCAATTTCAGTTTTTTTACATGAAATTATGAAATCTCAGGGCTATCAACATAGAAAAAGAGCTCTTGTTGGATCTCGATAAACTGAACCATTAGCGAATAAAATTTATTTTTCCAATATTTCATTTAAATTGAAATTTTGGTATGCACTTGAGTTTAATTATCTAGTTCAAATCTTGCAACTGAATTTTCACCTAGTTCTAATTGTCTGATCAACTTGGAATCTGGCAGATGACAGTTGACGACGCGTTATGGACTTTTTGATAGAAAAAAATAGGGCGGCTCCAATGTGGCTGACCAGATTTGTGATTATGGTTCGATTCGATTCAAAATTGGTTTGTAAGGGTTTTTGGGGTTGGAAATTTTGAATTCATTGTCGGAATTGATGAATTAACAATAGACGACGAGTTTCGTGATTATGGTCTGATCCTATTGAAAATACTAAAATGAAAAATATTGTTGAAAACAAGCTTTTTTTAAATTTTATTCGCTAATAGTTAATTTTATCGAGATGCAACAAGAGCACCTTTTTCATGTAAATAGCCCTGAGATTTCATAATTTCATGTAAAAAAACTGAAATTGCGATGAAAAAAAAAGTTGGGGTTATTTTTACCCCCTACCTCCCTATCTTGAGACACTCCTGTATTTTATTTTGAGGTGATTTTAAGCCCATTCGAACCGGCACTGAATAGTAAGCGGATAGACAAAATTTCAGATTTTCATTATACAAGGTGTTGGAGATAATAATACAAAATCATTCTCCGAGGCCCCCATTTGAGGGGCTGTATCTTTCTTGAGGGTCACTTCAGAAAAAAATGTTACAGAGGTTTTCGTAATTATTTCACCCACTCTATATGCTCCCAAAATTTGACCACCTATTTTAGAATCACCTTGTATATTAGAGAGTTATTGCAAAGCAAAGTTTAGTTGATTACAAGGAACTTTATTTAAGGCATCTGACAAAAATGTGTGTTATTGCAAAACCCAAGTGAGATGTACAGAAACTCACTATAATTTGACAGGTACGTCGAATTAATGTCAACGTCACTCTGAGTGGAGTGGTTCCAGCGCAAAACTCAAAAAACAATTAGAAGTAGCTATATTAGGAGATGTAACCATCAAGAAATCGAACTGTTACTTCTCCACAACATCATTGGTATAGCTGTTGAGGATAATGAAGAGAAGAACATAAGATTCAATCTGAAAAATATGTCTGATAATGAAGTGAATAGTTTCAACAGAAAATTCTTAACTAATCAACTACAGCAAACTGGTTTCCACCTTTTTCTAAATAATCTGACATTGACATAGGGATTATGACACACTACTTCTAGAAGAAGAACAACGTCTTCCTCGTATGTGAATCGTGCATGTCGTTTTTTATCACTTTCTTTCATGATTCATTTTGAATCCATACAAAAAATACCCAAAATCACTATGTTATGGTTTTTATTTTCACAAACTTCTGACAGGACCTAAATAAAAACTCCTGTTTCTGTATTTAAATTAAATAAGAGTCCTGTATGTTATTAAAAGATAATTGTCAACAATGTATAGAATGCGCATGATGTGTCAAATAATGGCATATTTTATTAAAGTATCATCACAATAGAGGTTGCAATAACTCTCAACTAAGAACAATAAAAACGAGCTTTTTCCTCATCCTCGGGAAAATGAAGCCAATCAGTAGCGACTAGCCAGTGAACGAGATCAGACATATAGAACGTCACGTTTTCCAGGTCCTTGATGGTAGCACATGAAATCTCAGTGGCGCCTTGATCCAGTCCATATGGTCGTAGAGAACTGGAGAATCGTCCACCACTGGGAACCATGATCGTCAATAATATACAACTCAGGCTAAATAGCAATCATAGACCACAAACACGGATAAATGAACGATATCGTGAATGGTGGGGATAACTCTGCATAACTCAGAGATCTGACGCGGCACCATTATATCTATCGGGATGGACTATGCTGGACAGAGACCTTCACTAAATAACAAGAGATACACACCGCAATTCATTCATGAATCATTAAAAATTCTACGCCAACAATCCTCAACATCCAAAACACGGATAAATCAATGAAATCGCGAATGGTGGGGATATCTCAGCAGAATCAGTTAGATCAGTGACCGCCTCCAGGTACTTCAGTGGTGGACGAATCTCCACCACTGAAAAAAATAACCTTATTTCAATCAGAAGAGGACAGTAGATTCGTCCACTGCTGGAAACGAGAATCGTAAATATTCTACAATGACTGATGTTTTAGATCACAGAGAAAAAGATGCTGCATCCCCAAAATTCACATATTGTCAACAGTAAGAACAATAAACAGACGGAAAGAATCCTCATCCTCAGGAAAATGAAGCCAATCAGAAACGAATCGTCAGTGAATGAGATCAGATTTAGAGAACGGGATCCTTGTCGGTGTAGCACATGTAGTCTCGGTGGCGCCCTAATTCAGTCCATGTGGTAGAGGAGTAGAGAATAGTCCACCACGGGTAACTAGGATCGACAATATACAACTCGGACTAAATAACAATCCAGAATGGCAAACACGGACAAATGAACGAAATCGTGGATGGTGGGGATAGCTCTGCGGATTCATTTTATCCTATAGTAAAGCTAAATTAGTTTTGTTGGTAAGATCAGTTAATACCAGTTTGTGAGGCCATCTAACATAGTATTCTATTAGCAGATCATCCCTACCAAATCTAGATCTCAAATTTTCTATAGCTTTACTATAATTCTCTATCGTAGGTGGGTAGCATCCAATAAGTTGTCTGGCTTTTGAGTTAGGGGTAGTTGCCTGCAGCAGATACTGAAATTTGTCATCATATTCCATCTCATCATCTCCGTGAACACGTTTGATAAACTCCAGAACTGTAACCAATCTTTGATATCACTGCTAAACTTCCTGAAATCAATCTTTGGTAGCTGCAGTTTGGTTTTATTCGATGAGACAATACTGGATTTATCATGATACTGCTCGGAGAATAATTTGTTGGCAGTAAAAGCGAGAGAACTGCATCGTATTGTGACTTCGCGAGACTCTTTCATCACTCTCGCAATATATTCTTCGTTTGCAGCATCATGTATCATATTATGAATAACTTTGTTCGACTCTTCCTCGAATTCTTCGTTTAGTTTCTAAAACAACTTGAACATACCGTGAACTGCGACCATATTCGGATTAGTTTCATAAAGACGGCCTTTTAAATCACGACAAAATGTATCAAAAGAACTTTTCAGAAGTTTCAGGGTCAAAATCTCTTCAGTATTCATCTTGCAGATCCTTCAACAGCAATCTCGTCGAAGCCTTCAAATGTTGTGTTTTCCTAATCTGTGATTGAGAAAACACAACAAAAGGTATGAGAAGCACTACACGGAATTTATTGAATGGTGCAATAGTAAAAAAGTGAAAACACCAAATAAAGAAGAAGTATTTTTGGCTCATTTCCTAGGAATGACTGAAACCTAGAGACCAAACACCATGGCCATGCTGGCTTCCGCAATAAGCTTACCTACATAATGGTAACGGTACACACAATAGATATTCCGGGTGTCCCATTTTAATCTTTATTTGGAAATTGCTCGAAATGTATGCATCTGACAAAAAAAATTGACGAATAAAAGTTGTATGGTTTGGAGGGGGACGTCTGGTTATGAAACAAGTTTCACCCCCTGACCCCCAGGGGAGTAAGAAATGGAGGTAACATTGAAATCTTTAATGGAAACCCCTATTTTTTATTGCAGATTCTGGAAGATCATTAAAAACTATGAAGCTTTTATTCGGGAACTTCATTTTTATTTTCACAAGATGGCGCTGCGATCGTAAAAAACAATTTTTCACTATTTACACATTTCAACTCCCTGAAGATGAGGAAGAGTGTAGGGTGTGATATTTTCCCAGACAAACGCCATTGGGGTGATATTCACACGACAAATTAACGCTAAACGAACTTACTTACCTTGACACCTCTAAATAGAAACGAGAAAAATTAGCATGTTTCAGCAATTAAGGTATCATTTAGGTCAGACTAAAGCTGGTTTTAAGTGAGATTAACTACTTTATCAAGTGTTCGAAATGACCTCCATTTTCTTGAATACACAAGTTCACTCGTTTTTCAAAATTCCGCACTGTCGCTTCCAACATAGCAGGCGGTTAAGCCATGCACGCTCCTCTAATTCTATCTTTCATATTCTCTCGTGTGGTTGGGGGTTCGCGAAACACTATGTTTTTGATGTAACCCCACAGAAAAAAGTCTGGGGAAGTCAAGTCGGGTGATCTGGGTGGCCAACTACAAACTAAATAGTAAAATATTGTTTTTCAAGATCGCAGCGCCATCTTGTGACAATAAAAAAGAAGTTCCCGAATAAAAGCTTCATAGTTTTTAATGCTCTTCCAGAATCAGCAATAAAAAATAGGGGTTTCCATTAAAGATTTCAATGTTACCTCCATTTCCCACTCCCCTGGGGGTCAGGGGGTGAAACTTGTTTTATAACCAGACGTCCCCCTCCAAACCATACAACTTTTATTCGGCAATTTTTTTCGTCAGATGCATACATTTCCAGAAATTTCCAAATAAAGATTAAAATGGGACATCCGGTATATCACTAATTATTAGAAGATAGAGAATACATCACTATTGTTAGTTGTTCCTATTTGTTAAGCGTCGTTCGGGTCAATGGCATTCGCGTGCGGGAAAGCATCACTTTCCGCATTTGTTAGGAAAATTACTATAAACGCAGTGACATTTTGGGGCAAATCATGTGATTTTCATATTTTTATTTTATAGAAACTAGGAGAAAATCCCAAAAAATCTGGAATAATGAACACCATTAAAATTTGTGGAGATGACTTCTGAGCATTCCTTCCTTCCTTTGATCTACAACAGGCCCTAACTCGCCCAACTCACCTTCTTTCACCGGAGTCTTCGCAGGCGCGCTGACCGATTCGACTTTGGCAGGCGCTTTTGCCGGCTCCGCTTTCGCCGGAGCAGCGGCCGGTTCGGACGCGCGATTGGGCTGCTTGACCGGCACCAGCCTGATGTCGCTCGCCGGCTGCTCGGCCTTCTCGGGCTTCGAGCCGAGGTTGCTGATGGTCTGCAGCAGCAGGGAGCCGTCGTCCATTTGGATGTCGAAGAAGTCGTCGTCTTCGGTCAGTACCTGAAGAAGGATATAGTAAGGTTATTGAGAAATCCATTTACAAGCACATGCTATAATTTTTACAACATTAGGTATGTTTGAAAAGGAATATTCTCAGATATAATTATGAACATGAAAAAAATGGATATACAGGGTGTTCCTTAATTGTATGCAAATATTCAAGGGGCCGATTCTTCGACCTATTTCAAGAATAAAACTTGTGAATGTTGAAAATATGCATAGATTATTTTTTCGTCCACCCTGTATAGCTTTTCGTGATGGCAACATTCAGTCAGCTATGTGACTGAATCGGCATACAAATTTCAAAATGTTACATACGGTGGTTATCCAGTAATGGATGTCCTGAATAGAGTACTCAAACATGAAAATTTGAAGTCTGGTCTCGTTTTTCCGATTCTCCTCGAAAATGAAGAATTCTATCGAGTATCGACAGGAGGATCTTTTTTGTACATAATTAAATAGCATTTTATAGCATTGTATGAAATTTGAAAATTTTTTGTCGCTGCTCACTTTTAAGTAAAATATAAATAATAATTTTCCCGTAACGGTGCCACGGGTAGAGAAAATGAAAATTTTTGTACATCAGAAAATGCACCTTGATGCATAAAAGACGTATACCAAATTTCAAAAAGATATATACAATATTGTCTTAGTTATCATCAAAAAACTGAATATTTTTCAAAACTTCATCAGCCTGTATCTCAAAAGTTGAGACTTTTAGGACATACATTCATATGAAACTTTCTTCTTAAAATGAGTCAGAAAATCACCCCCTCAAATATTAGCATGTCTTTAAGGAACACCCTGTATATACAGTCTGTCCAAGATAGGGTTGCACAGCATGGGGATCTCGGAAACGGTAGGAGATACAAAGTCGGTTGAATGGAAAAAAAGTTGCGCATAACAACAGCCTTCGAAAATTTTCAAAATTGTTTTCAGTTTTTCAGTTATATCAAAAAAAGTGAATTTTGGAATATCTATTTTTTTTCTCCGTTATTATTAGAGATACAGAAAAACTGAAAATACCTATTCATAGCAACTTTTGATGACGTTTAACGTGGTGATACCGATTTTTTTATACGACGTTTCGTATTCGTAGAACCATCATCAACTTTTGTTTTGTCAATACGGTCCTGATAATTTTTCCACAGATTCTGAAATATTCATAATTCCTAATGATTCAACACACTCTCAGCAACATAAAATTGCGACATATTATAGTATGATACACAGGCTAGTGAATGTCCCTCTCTCAGAAGTTTTCAATAAAGAACTCAATATCATAAAACAAATTGCAGTCAACAACAGATACAACGTTAATTTGATAGACAGTATTCTTTCTAAAAAACTCCATAATATAGCTATTCAAGAAGTTTATCCTACCATCAAAAATAACAATCAAAATTATAGAACTTTAACCTATTTCGGATCATCAACTGTAAAATTAGCTTCATTTCTACATAAACAGGACTTAAAAGTAGCATATAGAACAAATAACACGTTGGGAAAGTTCATCAAAAATAATAAAGACAAAACTTCTAAATTCGAAAAATCAGTGGTATACACACCCAACTGTGGATCTTGTATATATCGGTCAGACAGGTCGTACGTTCAATCAGCGCATTCATGAACATAAGATGAATTTTTTTAAAAAGAAAACAAATCCAGTATACGTCAACCATATATTGGAAGAAAACCATAGTTTTGATGATAATTTCGAAATTCTAAACGTAGAAAATAAGAGAATAAAACCCAATCATTTTAAATCATTAGAAATCAACAAACTCAAATATTCTAACATCTTACTTAACGATCAACTACACCTCAGTAATTTGATTAGTTGAAACCTTCAAAGAAGTCCGATAGGTGGCGTACGCTTATTTTCTATCTCGAATAGGATGTACATACCTAAATAGAATGTCCCATTCTCTTGGTGCGTAAATAAATGAAAAAAAATAGATATGAGGAATCGAGGGACTGTTCCCTGGTCAGAGCTAAATGACAGAAAGATCCAATATACGTTGCTCACCATCTTGACCTTGTTCTTCTTCTCCACCAAATGAGCGATCAGTAATTTAATTAGTTGATAGCTTCAAAGAACTCCGATAGGTGGCGTACGCTTATTTTCTATCGCGAATAGGATGTACAGACCTAAATAGAATGTCCCATTCTCTTGGTACGTGAATTAATAAAAAAAATAGATAAGAGGCAACTAGGGACTGTCCCTGGTATGAGTTGAATGAAAGAAAGATCCAATATACGTTGCTCACCATCTTGACCTTGGTCTTCTTCTCCACCAACTGAGCAATACATTCGGCCGCCTTTGGGCTCAGGTCCTCCAGCAGCTGGCATTCGGGCGTCGTGAGCATACACAGTGGATGAGACGCCAAGAAGTCGTCCACGTTCCTCAGCGACTTCACCGTCATCTGGTTCTCGCCCATGTAATCCAGATACCTGAAGGTGAATGTTTCATTATATATTTTATAGCGTATTCCACTGGATTGCACTGACGCGGTATAGATGCATATTAAGCACTGAGAACTGACTTCGGACAGAATTCGTTCAGTTCTAACCCATCTATACCTTTTCAACTTCAATTTCAGAATCGGAAAAATATATTTCTGAAAAGGTAAACTCGATTCCAGAAATGGTTAAGTAAATTCCAGAATCGGTGAGTTGAATTTCAGAAAATGTCCATTCAATTTCAGAAATGGAAAGTTATATTTCATTTATTATTGATAAGACAAGACTAAATGTGTGAAAAACAACGGAAATAAATGTTACATTTCTTCCCCCTCTGACATAATGACAGTTCACTGAAACCACACTACCTTTTGATAGTCAACAATTTCAGCAGAATGTTGAGTCGAAATATTTGGAACGAATAGTATGTCTGTTCACAAATATACGTCACTGTCAATAATTTTTTTGTCTAGTTTTGCAGAAAATTGTCTCCGGACAGATGTAGCTGGGACATATATATTTTTCTTCAAGATATTGTTTTCGCTGTTCCAAAATCATAATTTCAATTTGAATCTATTCTTCTTGTTGATATTGGTTTTTCTCGATGAGAAGCTGAATGAGTAGCAGGAATTGAGCAATAATATTTGAAAGCGATTTTATACTTACTGTTGTTCGGTGACTGTCGAAGTCTGGGAGTCAAAATTACTCGATTTCTGTAACTACAGGGTGATTCACATAAGAACCGACATAGAGCAGGGGCATGTAGGGGGTCCCAAAATATGGCAATTCAACGCAACTTACCTCTATACCAAGTTGCTTCCCTAAGGAGATATAGGCGTTGAAAGTGAAGTTATAAATTTTGAAAAAAATCAATATCTCCGTTATTCTTGAGCTTAAAGCAACCAAATTTGGTACACTTTGTGGATGTATTTAAGGCGTTACTTGACAGTAACTAGAGTTCAATTGAAATTTGTAAAGGGGGTATACCGGGTGGCGCACCATTAATATTCAACATAATTTTGTTAACACTTGATGGATTTCAAAAATCTTTGCTTTGTTTTGTGGGCAATTCAATTCTAAAACTTTTCTTACTCAAGTAATTTTTCGAAAAACCTCATCATTTTCATCAAAAACTCGAATAACTGAAAACGCGCGCTCTAGGTGTGTTATTTAAAATCATTGAAAATTCAAAAGTTGGCTATGAAAATAAACGTCAAACTTGACAATGAGGCAAGTGAGTTGTTCAATTAAGTAATTGTTGTTTGAGTGTTTTTAAAATGAACGGGAAGTTTTCTTTTAACGAGCAAGTTAACATGCTGTTAGTGCTATGCCTATAACTCCTTAGGGAAGCAACTTGGTATAGAGGTAAGTTGCGTTAAATTGCCATATTTTGGGACCCCCTACATGCCCCTGCCCTATGTCGGTTGTTATGTGAATCACCCTATTCCGAATTCAACTGACATTATTGAGTCTGCTGATTTTTATTCCGAAATAATAAAAAAATCACTGAAAGTACAGATACTTGTGAGCAGCAGACATACTATTATACTATTCATTCCTAATATTCCGACTCATTGTTCTGCTGAAAATGCTGACTATCAGAAGGTAGTGTGGCTTCAGTAAACTTTCATTATTTGAGAGTGGGAAGGAATTTCACATTAATTTCTGTTCCTTTTTAAACATTAGTCTTATCGGTAATAAATTAATAATATCATATTTGATATCAGAAAATGCCTGTTGTTTAAATAATTGACACTGAGAATAGTATTCAAATTTCACCAGCTAATCAACTGCTGCTGAATACAGATGAAAACCATGCGATCCAATTTACAGCACTGTATTTTTGATTTTATATGTCCGAACACCAGTCAGTGGATTTACTGACAGTACTGACCAGTTGAATTCGGAATATACACTGTATAAAATTTTGGACCGATAGTTTATCGATAGTATTCAAACACTATCGATTGTTTCGATTGTGCAAAACTCTCGATACTATCGAGAGTGCTATCGATAGTTACTTACCTGACGGAAACGACGCCGTCTCTGGGTTCGTCGGTGACGATCGCCCTGTGCAGGTTAGGGAGGCCGTCGATGCTGCACAGCACCATGCGGCCCTTTTTCACATCGGATAGTAAGAGACCTACGAAAGGGTTAGAATCATATACAGTGTGACCCACTTCTAATGGAAACACTCCTGTATCTTATGCTATCGTTAGGTAGGGATCCTAAAACTTGCTGGAGCGAGAGATATACCAAAAATGCACTCTATGACCAAGTGGAGTCATCTTCAGTGATATACACTGCTCGCCAACAGCCATGCAACCACCCCAATTTCTGGAAAATGATATCAGAAGTCATTCATATTTTTCCTGGAAAATTCCCAGTTCCGGAAAAGCAAATTTCGTCGCACTTTTTACGGAAACACCCCCGTATCTTACAAAATTGACTTTATCTTCGGAACTTCCCTTCCTCCTGCAAATTTCAGAACCCTACCTCAATAGTAAGTGAATTAGGTGTCCTGATTCCGAATGCGAAGTGATTTTCAACCTATTTTGACCGAGGGGTAAATCTCCTTGGAAGTCTGGTGTACACTCCGGTGGAAGTCTTTGGAATTCTTTGTAATTCTTTGTAAGTCTTTGGATGTTTTTGGATGTCTTTGGATGTCTTTGGAGTCTTTAGAAGTCTTTAGAAGTTTTTGGGAGTCTGTGGAAGTCTTTGGGAGTCTTTGGAAGTCTTTGGTAATTGGAAGTCTGGTGTACACATTTTTCCTGGAGATTTACCCCTCGATTTTGACTCCTAATATCATTTTCCGGAAATTGGGGTGGTTCCATGGCTGTTGGCGAGCAGTGTTTATCACTGAAGATGACTCCACTTGGTCATAGAGTGCATTTTTGGTATATCTCTCGTTCCAGCAAATTTCAGGATCCTTACCTAATGATTATGTAAGATACAGGTATGCTATTGGAAGTGGGTCACACTGTATAATAATAGCAGTCAGGGGATGGGCACTAAATCATTCTCATCATACGGTAAAGATAATGCGAAACTTGACATCCCAAAAGAGCCACAAAATTTCAATTTTCTAAAAGATTCATGCGCTATTAGATAAATTTCAGTTCAGCTTAGGAAACCATAGAAAAGCCTTAACCTTCACTGTGATTAGATTATATCAGAGACAATGTTCCAGAGAATTCCAAGAAAATCCAAGGAATTCCCAGGAAATTCAAGGAATTACAAAGAATTCCAAGGACATCCAATCAATTCCAAGGGAATCCAAGGAATTCCAAGGAAATCCAAGAAATTCCAAGGAAATCCAAGAAATTCCAAGGAAACCCAAGGAATTCCGAAGAATTCCAGTGGTATAATTCGATAGAACCCAACAGCTCACCACCGCAAACCGTTTCTTGCTGTGAGCTCCCTACGTTTTATAAAAAAATATTGAAATCCCCGATGTTTCGGACCTCTGAAAACGAGGCGATGATGTGACGTCAAAACCTTAATACTGAAACAAGACTATTTCAGACAGAGATGAATGATACATGATTTCTGACAGAGTGAATTAGCGCGAGATCACAGTTGAAAGAATTAATATATCAGTTGCCTCAGTCTCCGTCGGGCGTTTGGTATTTTCTTTCAACTATGGCGAGATGAGGTTTCTACGTCATAAGAGGGTCCGTTTTCAGAAGGTACTATTATTTATGTCCAAAAATAAAACATTACAGTTTATTTTTCGATCGAATTATGTCGTCAATCATTATTTATGTATAAAAGGATCATTATAAACATGGTTTGAGTTGAAGGTTCTACTAAGGTGTACACGCCCATTATACCACACTTCACTCAAAGAATTCCAAGGAATTCCAGTTGTTTGTAGCCCAGGAATATGCCGCATTTCACCCAATGAATTTCATGGAATTCCAAGGAAATCCAAGGAATTCCAAGGAAATCCAATAGATTCCAGAGAATTCCAAGGAATTCCAGTTGTTTGTACACCAGAATTTCACCGCGGTTTACCCCTCGGTCATAAGGGACATGTTTCAGTCTTATAAAAGACCATCTACAGCCAAATTGAAAGGTTTGGAGTTGAAGAAATTGTTTGATGCTACTTGTTTCTTGAATTGTTATCAATGCCCATAGCCAAGAATTCAAATGTTAATGAAAAAACAAACTTGATGAAAATTCATGGGAATTTTTGATTTTTTCTTCCGACAGTTATAGCTTACTTGATTTATCGAGAGACTTAATATAATTGACCACCTCCAACGTCTTCGTCGCACACTCCCTAGTCTTGACAGCAAACTTGTTATCGATGATACCGCAAACCATGATCACGTCGCCATTTTTAAGCGTTGCCAACGGCTTCGGAACGTCGAAATACGCTTTTTCCGTCACCTTCTTCTCCTCTATCTTCTTGGCAGGTTTTTCTATCGCCTCCTCTTTTCGCTCCACCTTTGGCTCCTCTTTTGGGATCTCTTTCTTTGCTTCTTTTGGAGCCTCCGTTGGGGCCTCCGCTGCTTTGGTCTGCTGGTGTTGCTGCCTGCAGGGCCTCAATGACTGTGCTTCGCTATCCACCAAATAAGTGCCATCATCGTACTAAAAACGATAATTAAATGGAAATACAGTTCCCAACACACTAAAAGGACCACTCATAATTTGACCTGTATATTTTAAAAACAATTGATCGATCTTCATACACACTACACTGTTTTACCACTAACCAAACCGATTTTTTAACGCCTTGACACGTGTTTCGCTAACTATGTTAGCATCTTCAGGAGAAGATCAAAACTGTTAAACAGTTAAACGTGTCGAGGCGTTAAAAAATCGGTTTGGTTAGTGGTAAAACAGTGTAGTGTATTATCGTGCCGAAGGTTCCAGTCTTTGATAGATCTTCATACGGTTTTCGATATCAGTTGTGATATTTCATCGGCTTCAAAGAGAGCTAGAACACTCTGAAAAAGTCCGCACAACAAAACATACACAGGGCGTAAAGTGGAACCATTACACTATGGTCTACATTTCCAATTCTGCCAGAACTCGAGACATTTTTTTCTGATCAGAAGTCAGTCATATTATACACTGGGACCTCATCTCGGGACGTTTTCGTGATTTCTCCTTAATTGACCATTGGAACAAAAAGTTTTTTTTTTCGAAAGTCTTGCATTTCTTGAATTTTTTCTCTAGAACTCCACTTGAGCTGACTATTGGTTAAAACTGTTCTGTTTTGTGGAGGACAATGAAAGATAAAACAAGCACTATTGTGGAATACACAGGATGATAAGAAAATAGGACAAAATCTCATTTCAGTAAAAAAAATCTAAAACCATGGCCCTCTCGATTCAGTATATTCAGAAATGATCTTCTCGATATCCATTATTTATATTAGACTATTAACTGGAGATGTTATGGAAAATTCACCTCTAACTGTAATGCAGGTTGAAATTCTGAATTCAAACTTGTTTCCTGATATCGATGATTCTTATCAACTGATTTCCAATATTAATTGCCCAAGTATGAGACACACAGTATTGTTGTTCCGTTGATCTATCAATATGACCCTGTATCTAAAATATTTTTATTACTCTGAATTTTTACAATTATTCCGAAAAGAAGATGAAATATTCAGCAACAGTTTACCTTATTTTTTATTCTAACTCTCAAATCCATTTCATCTTCCAAAACGGGACCGCCATTGCACACTAATCTCAAGGCCAGAGATGGTATTTCCCTGAACTCCTCCGGAAGGACTCTCACCGAATCAACTATACTCTTATTTCCATAATCCAAAAACTGAACATGCAGAGGATCTTTCCTCATCAGTTTACAACGATACCTTAAAAAAAATTATGGTGTAAAGAATTAGTTGGACAGTTACTACACTTTTACACTTTTGAAACTATTTTCGAGAAATAGGAATAACCAGGAACAGAACCACTACCATACCCTACCAATATCAATTGTCAAAACAACACCTGCCACCGTCGTGATCAGGCAGAGACTGACTGATAATTCCTATAACATAATTCTTCCTGGCATTTCAGGATGAGTCATACATTATACAACTTCTGTAGTTGAACCATCATATCATATATATCACATGCCTTTCACAATAGTGGAATCATCGCTCTCTGCATAGTGCTACATTGCTTAATATATACTGGATGTTTCCAAAATAGGAGCGATGAATAAATCACAAGTTTTTTTAAACTTTTTAAAAAAATGTGCGGCCTCGTACCACATATTATGTCAAATGTTATTGAACGTCCGGCAACAGTGCAAAATTAATTGACACTTTTGATGCTTCAGACCTCGTCGATTGCAAATGCTCGGGTGCTCATAAAAATACATTTATTTCAAGAAAATGAACTTGCCCCTTCCATTTATCGCTCTCATTTCCGCAGGGTGTCTAGTAAATAGAAAACAACAAAGTAGAATTGAGTAGTAGTGATAAAAATTACTGGGAGCTTGAATATTGATCTTCAAGTCAACTATCTTAAGATTTTGAAGATTTTTTCTCTTGAAATAAACATCAAAATGAGTTCTGTTTATAACTTCTCAAGGGTCATTCAGATTCAAATTAATTCTTGGCCACGTGGAAACTGGATTACAAATTGATTTGATGCTTTCTGAAATACAAGTGGAGAATGTACAGTACCTAGTGATAAAAGAGAATTAATCAATCAAATACCAATGCTAGGATCAATATTTACCAAGCATCCTCGAAGAGAGCTACACATAGTTGCCCTGTCATGGGGTCAGTTACCAAGTCGCATTTTGGTCCTGCATCCAACAGTTTCAAGATAACGTCTTCGAGATCGCTGGTCACATCCTGTTTGTGCACCCAGCAAATGTTGTTCTTGCCATGATCCCTCTCCAAGTAACACACTGTAACCTTGAAAACGAAGACGTGGACGAATTTTAATTTTTAGTAATACTAAATGGAGTTGATGGATGAAAATCGAGATTTAGGTTACCTTTGAAATGGATGAAGAAATTCTCCTATCTGTCGGGTGGCGATCATGCTAGTTGTGCGAGTAAAAAGTACCCTGTACAACTAGCATGATGACATTCAGGTTGCCAGATAAGAGTGGAGGTATTTTTTGTCAAAAAGCCGCAAGCTGGGGACTCCTTTTTCTAATCTAGCGTATTTGTCAATCTTATCATTCCCTATATGGAGTCTATCCATCGGAAGGCAGTTTTCACGGTTTCCCATACGAAAAGTCTCAGGGCGAGGAAGATAAACTTCGACATGGCGCCCAACGTGGGGCGATACCAGATGGAATGAAACGAACCTTTTTAACTGTCTTCCGGATACGAATTCCGAATATGACTAGTTTCGTGGTTCTGAAAAAACTACGTGGCGCCTAAGACAACAAAACGATCAAACTAACAGCACCCTGAAAGAAGTAGCTCTCATCACAGCACACAACTGGGAGGAAATCAAATCTCGACGAACCGTGAAAACTTCCTTCCGATGGATATGACTCCATATGGGGAATGATAGATTAGAAAAAGGATTCCCCAATATGCGGATTTTTAACAGTAAAAACCCCTGTCGCCGAGTGGCGATCAAACTAGCATGATGACATTCAGGTTGCCAGTTATGAGTTTGGTTTGTCTCGTATCTGTCAGGGGTTTTTTCTGTTAAAAAGTCGCAAGTTGGGGAATCCTTTTTCTAATCATTCCCTGTGTGGAGTCTTATCCATCGGAAGAAAGTTTTCACGGTTTCCCATACGAAAAGTCTCAGGACGAGGAAGATAAACTTTGACATGGCGCCCAACGTGGGGCGATAAGTTATTCCAGATGGAATGAAACGAACCCTTTTGAACTGTCTTCCAGATACGAATTCCGAATATGACCAGTTTCGTTATTCTGAAAAAACTACGTGGCGCCTAAGACAACGAAACGATCAAGCTCTTATCACAGCACACATCTGGGAAGAAATCAAATATCGACAAACCGTGAAACCTTCCTTCCGATGGATATGACTCCATATAGGGAATGATAGATTAGAAAAAGGATTCCCCAACTTGAGGCTTCTCAACAGAAAAAACCCTGTCGCCGAGTAGCGATCATGCTAGTTGTGCGGGTAAAAAGTACCCTGCACAACTAGCATGATGACATTCAGGTTGCCAGTTGTGAGTTTGGTTGTATCTGTCAGGAATCCTTTTTCTAATCATTTCCTGTATGGAGTCTTATCCATCGGAAGAAAGGTTTCACGGTTTCCCATCCGAAAAGTCTTAGGACGAGGAAGATAAACCTTTGAAGCACATATTATGAAAAACTCCAAGAAAGTTTAAATTTTCTACAGAAGCGCATATTGATTCACAGAAATTCACTCGAGCATATTGTGATTTTAGCAAGAAGCAAAACTTTCGACATTCAAATGCATACAACCGCTACTCACATCATGGTAATCCCCGACCTGCAAATCGATCCTTTTGAGCTGCTCGTCGACCTCGAACTCCATCCTTTGCTTCCTCTCCGCCGGCTCGCTCGATTTCTCTGGCCGGTTGAGATTGTCCCTGGAATGGTGCGAGTCCTTCCTTTTGTTGTCGGCGTTTTGGCCGAAATGCGAACCGCCTTCTCTAGACATGGAGCGTTGGGACATGTCGGAGTTGCTGCCCAAATGAGCGTTACGGTCTCTGGAGTTGAACCCGCGTCCACTGAAATTAGTATTTTAACAAATTTTTAGAATTGCCTTTTTATTACAATACTCTTTTGTTAATAAATCCCTATACCTATCTCTATCGGTTTTCGAGATAAGAAACAGGCTTGATGTATTCAATTTACACCGAGAAGTCGCCTCTATATCATACAGGGCGTGCTGGAATTATTATTATATCCGTTGTTCATACAAGTAGATTTTTTAACGCTTTCAACTTACCTGTGATTGGAACCATCACTGAACTGGGTGCCCTCATCGCGTGTCCTGTTCCCGTTTCTGAATCCAGCGTTGCCACGTTGTCTATCAGAGTTGTCGCTATACTGAGCCGCCTCGTCTCGGGTTCTACTCTTGCTCCTGTAATTGGCGTTGTGAGGTCTGTTCTGGTTCGGATGATGGTCTCTGTTACCGCCGAAACCGTTAGTCTCCCTTACAAAAAAATGACAAAAAATAAACATTTATTTCTATTTACTTTCGGATTTTTCTTCTCGGAGCCTTGTTGTTTCTGGTTAGAATAGAATTGAATTTAATGATCTCATGATATCAAATAATGACATGAGACAGGTCAAAAAGAACATTAAAATTGAAAAGTCTACCCGAAACTGGAGCATTTAACTTAAAATATTAAAATTGGCCAAAAATATAGGTCAATGAATACAATATACAATAACATAATACAAAACTAGAAACATACAGGTATATCAAAAATTCAGATCAACGTATTAGCAGTTTGAACATAATTCAAGGATTATTTTCGAAATATTCTTCAACCGAGTATGGACACATGCCAATGAGATAATTTTTGGTTTTCTCTTTAAATTACATGACCCTACTACAATTAGATTTTTTTGTTTGATAAATCACCCATTGAAATCATGACACTAAATACCTGGTACACTTATTCTAACTAATTCAACTAACCTATCATTGTCTCTGGGTCCCTGGAAAGACCTTTGACTGTTGTTTCTATGCGATGGAACAAAATTATTGGGCAAGGTCTTGGGAGGTCTTTGGGGTGCAACATTTTCGGAAGAATCGAAGGACTCGTAACCGCCTTTCGGCACGTTCTTCGAGATCGTCAGGTTATTATCAGTATTGGTTACTTGTCTTCCCATGGAAATGTTATGAGACCTGCTCGATGTAGATTGGTCTCCCAGAAGCTTGGTCTTACATCTGAAAATTTCAAGAATATCAATGAGAAAAATCGAAGAATATTGAGAATCTCTTCAAGGAATTATATGAAAACTTAACTTTTATAGGCATTCAAGTTGATTTTTTTTTTCGAGAACTATCAATATCCCTTACCATTAGTGGGTTTGATTTCATTTCATAAACACAAAATTTATACTAATATGATCCCTATTCATTTCAAAACCCACATAATATGCGTGTAATACTTTGGTAGTTTTAGTATGCATAAAAAATGTCATATCGTAAGTGTATCGTAGGAATTGAGGAATTATAGTGGATACCATGGAAACAATTTTCATAAATATGGGTCGACAAAAAATGGTTTCTAACTGAAATTCAAGCAGCATGCAAATGGTCTTATAAAAACAATTTCTTACAAAATCAACTATCTTTATAGATGTTCAAAATATTTGAGTCAATGGTCAAGATTTATTATTTTCAATATTTTGATACTTCCCCACTTCACTTATTGCTCAACAGTACTATATACATTAACTAAGAATGAAATAGGTCGTTTTAAAAAATTACAAAACAGAGCTATGCAAATAATATTGCATGTACCAGATGAACCCCAACTGTTGAAATGCTAACTACTATGAAATGGTTGTCAGTTCAAGATTTTGTCCACTATCAACCTCTGATTGTCACATACCTATAAAATAACATCTGGCAGTGCCTCTAATTATTTGCACAGTAAGATAACTTAATTTTTTCCCGGATATATATCACATATATACACTGTTGTTGGCTTTTGTTGTGCTACAGTTCCGAAAAATAAGCCAATAACACCGTCTCCGAGAAAGTCCTTTCATCTTCCATTTGACTTTGCAGTTATGTAAATTACTAAACAACCACTAAAATCGCAATTTTTTAAAATCAAATCACAGGATTAGACTGACAGATATTGATTACTTCAAAAGAATGATGGAAGATGCCTGCAAAAAGATACTTGCAACACAGGTGTCATTTCTGTTGGAAAGTTCAAATTTCACGTAGATAATTTTCTAATTATGATATAATGTATATCTTCTCACTATTGATTCGTCCTTTTTCCTGTAACAGAATTTTTTTTTATTTATTATACAAGGGAAAAAATTAGTAGATTTTAGCTCCAGGTTGTGTTGTCTCCCGACGCGTAGCGGAGGGAGACAAGAAACCGTGAACTAAAATCTAATATTTTTCCCGTGTATAATACACTATTTTTTTCTGTGACAGAAGAATGGACGAATCAATATTGAGAAGGTATTACATTATTTTGAAATCTGAAAATTATCGACGTGAAATTTTAAGTTTTTAACAGTAGGGACACCTGCGTTGTAGGCATCTTTATCATTCTTTTGAAGTAATCAAATATCTGATGTCACTTCTGTTAGTCTAATTCTGTCATTTGATATAAAAAAATTGCGAATTTAGTGGTTGTTTAGTAATATACCTAACCGTGAAGTCGAATGGAAGATAAAAGGACTTGCAGTTCTTTCTTGGAGACGGTATTATTGACTCATTTTTCAGAACTATAGCATAACAAAAGCCATCAACAGTGTATATATATGTGATATATATCCGGGAAAAAAGTACTAACTTTTTTCCCACGGGACATTACATTTTGGTTTTTTATTTGTGGAAAGTTATGAATATTTCCACGTCATGTTAAATTTCATCTTTAGATTGAAGAACTTACCTTTCTATGGTCCTCAGAATTTGTTCCTCATCAATTTCACCAACCTTATTTTTCAATAGATAGTTTTTTGCCTCCGACAATAAATGTAGATCGAATTCTTTGAGAAGTTGACTGAAAAAATAATTATCCAGTAAAAAATAAATCACCCTAACAATAATTTAAAGTTTCCACATTATTTACAATGTAACATTACATTGTTGTTCAACGTTTTAATAGTAAATGCATATAAATAGAACAAGGCAAACCATCAATATATCACCTAGCAATGGATCTTAAAGCAAGAGATTTCAATTGGAGCAAAGTAAATTATGGTTATTCAAATAATTATATGTTTTATATCCCTATTTTCAACAATGTTTCTTATGCTAATACAGTCAATCAACAACATGATCAACATGAATAGTAATTTACATACTTTTTATTAACTATAAGGCGGTCAAATGTATCTCTTCTGAATACAGCAAACCCAGCGCGTCTGATGTCTTTGAGTTTAATATACAAATCATTAGAATATTCTCCCTCAACTGTAGTGAGGAGATTTCCATGAATGTCACAGTATTCATGATTTTCCAAGAAGTCTTCATCAAGATAGTCATCCATATTGGTCTTCTCTTCTTCTCTCCTCTCTTTGAATGTTGAATTTGCCCTAAATGAATGCAAATATCAGGAATAAATAAGAGATTAATATACAGGGTGTTTCATAATTGAATGCTGATCCTAAAGGGTGATAATCCTTGGATGATTTTAAGAAAAATTCTTCATGTGAACATAGGTCCGTAACAGCTTCGTTTCTGAGATACAGGATGTTGAAATTTAACAAAAAATCAGTTATTCCCCAATATCTCTGAAAGCACTCTGGCTTTTTTCTTCATTACAAATACTTAAAAATAGTTACCATAAAATTATAAAAATATTGCTCAGATCTTTTGGTTACCACAATTGTGAAATTATGACTAAGAGTAAAAATCGAATAGGGACAAGCAAATGAATGCATTTTGTTTTCTAACTCAAAAACCGTTCGCCGGACGAAAAAAAGACAAGAGACCATTTTTATGAGATAGAGGATAATTACAAAAATAATATTCATTTGGAAAAAAGACAGTGGCGTATCATTATTTTGATGAAAAATATGACAGGGTATGTAAACAGGGACGCCACTGATGGAAATTGAGAAATCCTTCATTATGGAAAAAATGTATTTCTATTCATACTCGGAATGTACCCAAAATTGAAGAAAAAAGCCAGAGCGGTTCCAGAGATATTGGGGAATAACTGATTTTTTTGTTAAATTTCAACATCCTGTATCTCAGAAACGAAGCTGTTACGGACCTATGTTCACATGAAGAATTTTTCTTAAAATCATCCAAGGATTATCGCCCTTTAGGATCAGCATTCAATTATGAAACACCCTGTATAGGATGCCAATACCAATATTACATTTATTATTGACTAGGTTATTTATGAGGTCCAGTCCAATATGCATTTCTGTTTTCAAATTTACAATATCCAAGAAGAGCATATTCCAATGTTGAGAAATGGCCCAATCAATTATGTCTATACATATTTATAGGTACTGTTAGATATGTTTGATATGTTTTAAATAGCTGTATGTCACTTACTGACTAAACTGATTTCCAGACTTTTGATATGACTGTTCTTCCCCTAATTCAACTATCCAACCATAGTCGTTATATTTCAAACCTTGTACAGCTAGTTCACAACTCCTGTAGAAAAAAAAACTTCTTTGAGTAGATGCTTTAACTGAATTCATTAATTTCTAATACTACTACTAATCATTTTAACTCCAGAAAAAGCTCAACAAATGGTAAAAGAACTTTTTTTGTTCACCTTGAGACGACAATAGGCGAAAATTGCATATTGCCTGCTTAGTTCACAAAGTATTGAAAGATAAAAATCCTATTTACATTCATCATCGATTATCATTCACTTCGGAAATACATAATCGTTTCACTAGAAATACAGGTCTTCTCGTGATGCCTATGCTTTATATGAAAGATGCTTCTCCTATAATGCAGTTAAAATATACAATTCTCTCCCACAAGAGTTCATGAATAAATCAATGTTTCACTTCAAAAAGTCAACTAAATTATTTTTCTCCACTAATATACCGTATATTAGAATATATAATAATGCTATACTTATATTTAGTAGATAAGTTAGTTTTATATTTAAGCTACTATGTAGGTAGTTATTTAATTCAACTGTAATATGGTACTCAGTTAAGTAGAACAGCTTTCCTGGACTTCACAGAGGATATTAAAAATAAAGCCCCTATTATTATTATTATCTGAAGAGGGATTGGATGCATGCTTGTTGCAGAATGGTCACCCCATCGCATTTGCTTCCAGAAGAATAACCCCCTGTGAGCAAAAATATGCTCAAATAGAGGAGGAAATGCTTGGCATTGTGTTTGCAACTCAAAAGTATCACAATTTCGACTATGGTTTTGAAGTCAAAGTAAATTCTGATCAGAAGCCTTTTGAATCTATTATGAAAAAGATCTAGCATCGGTTTCTCCATGCTTACAAATAAAGAGTCAGGAAAATATCTACATGTGGCTGACTCTATCCAAAGCGTTTTTGTCTGGAACTAGACTGAAATCTGACCGAGAATTTACATTCGCTGTTCACTTATTTACTGGAGATTTTGCTATGCCACAAGAACGTTAACAGCAATTCAGGCAAGAAACTGCTAATGATAATTTATTACAACAATTATAATCAATTATTGTAAAAATTGCTGGCCAACCAACAAGGATGAAGTCCTCCCCTCTCTAAGACATTTTTTTTTAAATCAAAGAGGATCTGGTGCTACTTGATAATTTATTATTTTGCGGTGAAAAAATCAATTAGTTTATGCAGTCCCTATTATGCTCCATCAAAGGTGCTCCATCTAATGGTTTAGCAGAAAAGTGGTAGAGGGGAAAAATTAAAAAAAGAAGATGTTGATATGCAATCTTCTCTGCTTCAATATCAAAACTCTGCACTCAAGCATACTGGTTATTCCCCTAATCAACTGTTGATGTATTATAGTAAGAATAGTAAAGATTCAAAGCCTTTGGTTGGACCCAAGCCAGAATGTAACAATATTTAATCATATAAACACAAATGGGAACAACCTCACAAGTTGTATCACAACATGAGTCACCTAGATCTTATTTTGTAAAAGACTCCTCTGGTAAACTCATTTGAAGAAAAAAAGTAGATAAGTTTATGCCCAAACAAAATGTATTTGACTTTGAATATCCCAGTGTTGAACAGTCAACTGAGCCTTCTGTTTCTTCTCATACTCAAGGTTCTTGACCTGAGAAGTCCCAAAGGACACCTAACAGTTCCACAGCCAGTCCACAAAATATTCCCATACATTTTTAGATCAGGCTACAAGAACTAGATTTGGTGGCTCTGTGAAAAGACCAGAAAGGCTTAACTTATAGGAAGAGATGTATTAATAGAGTATAGATGTCTAAGACCTCAAGTTCTGTGGGGTGTCTAGGTACTGTCCTATCTATGTGTCATGGCATTTGGGGTAGGAGACACCAGACAGTAAGAGCAGTGAGATACTGGGTGAGATAGGCAAGACTAGAAATTATAATAAGGTTTACACTGATTCTTGAATAGTGCTTTACTAAAGAATCCTCTCCAGAGATATCAGTATTTTACAACTAGTAATGAGGGAAAAAGTCTACAATACTCCAGAGATGATACTACTTTTTTTGTAAAAGAAATGCCTGGAAATAATAGGTTCCAATTTATTTCAATATATCAACTATAACAGTTATTATAAACTTGAGCCAAACAACTTTTGAATCAGTTTTCTGATTGACTTACCCTTGATTTTCAAAATAGACCTTTGAGAAGGTGTCAGCTATATATATTTTCCTAGTTTTTCCAAACTGTTCAAACTCTTTCCGAATTAAAGGCTGTAAAAGAAAATTGTGAGTGCATATCATTTAACTATGCTATAAAAGATCTATGTGCAGATGGAATATATTCTCACCCTGTCAGCAGTGTTCACAGACCCTGTCACCCCAGTTATGTGACAAAATTTGCTGAAACAAGCAATGCTTTGAAATTGCCTCCATAAATAATGTGCAAATTTACTTCACAAAACCAGCAAGCACATTGCAGAAAATCTATGTTAGTGGATGCTGAGTGCATATAATATTAAATTGTTATCCCTAATGGTGCTCAGAACTTGGGAGAGTAAAAGTAACTCAGATTAGATCTACCTAAACGTTAATAAGTTTTGAAGTTATGGAACCATTCTACAAACTATTTTCGAAAATATCAAGTCTCACAAACCACAAACCAAAGAGAACCTATGTATTGACCTATTATTCTTTACATGAACCTGCATGAACCATATAATGATTTTAATTATGCCTACCCAAAATTATACCTACTCTCCCCAATATTATCATATACAATGTTATCACCATGTAGGTAATGGTGGTAATATCTAAGCAGTAAGCAGCAAAGCAAACCTCATATTCATATATATATATACATCATATACATATATATACACATGCACCAGGTAAACAATAAGGTTATGCTGTTTGAACCTGAAGAACGTTTTCACTGGTAAGCAGAAAAATATAAATAATGGAAATCATGCCAAGATGCTGGGTCGAATATGAGACTTGCTTTTTTGTGCACTTTTTTGTCTAGTAAAATTGTAAATAGAGAACCCAAACTTATCTTACATGGTTCTATCCATTATCAGTTGATTCTGTACAAGTACAACTAGAATAGATAGTCAAGTTTAATATAATAACTTCTTATTTTCGAAAAAAAAACATACAGATGAATGATAAAAAATGCTTGAACTCACCAACGAATCCAACAATTCAGCGAGGCAAGAATCAACAATCCAAAAACTAAAAATCAACAATCAACAATCAACAATCAACGACCAACGTGCAACAATCACGGATCACGGAATTAAAGTATTTCGAATTTCGATATTTGTTATGTTCGCGTTGTTCTGTGGCTTTGACTTTGACTAGAATTCTCTTTTACCAGAGGCACGTATGAACATGCGATGCGATGTGGAGTAATCTACTAGAGTCTAGCCATAGCACCAGTGCGAGAATATTGCGCCTGGTGCGCAGGTCGCTGGGCGCGAGAAACAGAAAATTTCGTTGCTTGCTCGCTCGCTCGCCGAGCGCGAGAAGCGAGGCGAGAAGGGTTTCGGCCGTGCGGCGCGGGACAAATATTGGAGCGAAACAATAAAGATCATCATTGGTAAAAGAATACCCAATACCCTTAATTGGCGGCGAATCATGTATCACGGGAACGGGAAGGAGATTTATTGGTTGCCATTGGAACTGTTTCCAGAATATGTACTCATTTATCGTTTGACCTCCAAGTCTAGCGTTTCACACTTTAAAAATGCAATCGAACTGTTGTGCAGAATGTTCGAAAACATTCAGTTCTTTTCAAAATCTCAGAACTCATTGTTTGAAGTTACATCCAACAAAGATAGCCCCGTCGAAGAAAAGTGAAAAAGTGTTTTCCTGTGATAAATGTGGACAACAGTTTATAAATCAGAGGGAGTTAAAAATTCATACAAAGAAATGTAACAATTCATCTACAAATACTATGAAAGAAACAGGTAATTCCACTTGTCCAATGTGCAGTGAAAAATTATTGAGTAAACAATTCGAGAGACATTTGGAAATTTCACATGACTTAACGTTGGTTAAAGAAAATATTGAATGTCCATCTTATGAAAAATATATATAATAAACAATATATAATTGTTCCTATTTCGAACACATTTTATATTTTAGGAATATTTTGAGTTTGTTTTTGTTTATCAAATATACCTAAATTTCAAACTGTGTATCTTTTACCATTTTCAATATATTTAATTTAGATCGCTGCGATATTATTTTTGCAAGGGAAGGGGGAATTTTTGTGGAATTATATAATTATATATGTATATACCCAGATAGCACACACAAGTACCTTCTCAGAATATTATACGAATATTTTCTAGGAACGGTCTATGGATATACAAAGAGGGCTGTTCTAGATATTCTGAGAATATGTTACTGGTAGGTATATTTATAGTAATAAAATTTAAAAAAGCTTGCTCCGGTGCGGGCTTGCGAACCTACATAGTTATTTACCTGTCACCTTAACCACTGAGCTACAGACCTTTTTAATGAATGATATGAATGGGAAGATCTCAACACTTATATAGTGGCATACAACCATTATAATAATGGGTTTGGTAAGGGGAACACTTTGTATATCAATACATGAATAATAACATCAATTTCATAATTTGATACGATTCTGTATATTCTCAGAATATTCGAAAAGAATATTCTTGTGTATCTATGTCAAATTGAATGTTCATAGAATATTCGTTGCAGGATGAAAATATTTTATGATCATTTTAAGGACATTATGTTAGAATATTCTGAAATAAGTAATATTTGAACATTGTCATTCTAGAATATTCCATTTCAGAAGCTCATTGGAACATATTTTCAGAATATCATTAGTATATTCGCAAAGTATTCCATGAATGTTCACAATATTCTGAAAATATTATTCAATAGACATTCTGGAATATTATATCCCAGGAGCTTCTAGGAATGTATACTTTCATGTAATACTATCAGAATATTCGCATGGAACATTCCATAAATATTCGCAACATATACTGAGAACTTTCTATGCATATTCTTCAGAATATTATTCTAGAAGATGACATTTTCGCAGCTTGTAAGAATATTCTGAGATTATTCGTGCTATCTGGGGATATATATAATATGTAATAATTATGAACAGTACAGTGTTAATTCAATTTGAATAAATTGATTTGAGGTGTGTCACGATTCTAGGGATCACCCTGTAACATGGTATCAACTAGGAAAGCAGTTGTCTAATGTATCATTTCACAACAATGACTTATTTGTTTTTGTTTCGCTGCAATTTCTCGCGCCCAGCGAGCAGCGAGCGACGCGCAATATCATTTCACAATGACTTATTTATTTTTGTTCCGCTGCAATTTCTCGCGCCCAGCGACCTGCGCACCGGCGCAATATTCTCGCACTGGTGCTATGGCTAGACTCTAGTGAGTAATCTTTGGAGTAATCTGGCGGTGATGTCACTGACTCATAGACTAATCTAGACCGCCAATTCCAATGTTACACCATAGGGCTGTTCTCGTTCGGAAAATAATAAACAGTCCGAAACCATCGGAACTCAATCGGAACCATGTGCAGTTCCATGGAACATGTAAAATGCCAACAGTTCTGTGGAACTACGCAGAGGAACATAGGCGTATCGAAGTAGAAAGGTTGGCAGGGGCAATGACGGCCAAATATCTGGACTGTCTGACGGGAACTATTAATCATTCCAAAATAACGTCATTTGATAGGTTGCTGAGGGGCAAACATTGTATTTTGTCAAGATTTGTCATATGAAACCAGAATTAGTGGGATCGTTTCCCTTGGAATCCGAGTTGAAACCGGAAAGAATTTCATAATTTTGTTTGGTGAAACTGTTATTATATTGTGGATGTGGCCGGGATGGTCAGGGCTATGCTTATCAAAGGTAACCTAACAGATAGTTTGTGTGCCCCTCAAGAAACCATATGTCAAAATCACATGTTCTAGAATGGTCCATTCAGGTCTCAAAGCTTCCAAATACTCAGATATCAGAACTCCATTTCAGAAAACGGCAAATTTGCCTGTGGCTTCAATGTCCTGGATTTGCCTATAGAAGCATCAGGAAGCCTTCTGCTGGCGTAAAAATGGTCTGAACATAATTATCCTCCATGAGCAAGAGACACTAAGTCATCTCCACAAATTTATTATCTGAATTATTAGTGTCTGATAGGACTATCAATAGTCCATCATCAGCTGAAGCCTATATTTTTCAAAAGACAATTTGTGGAAGTGAAAAAAAAAGAAGCAACAATTGTTTTGTTGTTCTAAAATTGTTCTATCCGTCATTCGGTTGCCCCCTTACGAGCAACCCTCAGAAGTCTTCGAAAGTCTTGTGCGAGCAAGGAATGACGGGGGCCTTACCTTTTAACGTGTGATCCCAAACACTTTCTTAGGCCATCAGAAAAAGTCTGCGTTCATGGGACTCGAACCCACGATCGTTACCTCGACGTGAATCGATATTGAAGCATCGAAGCACTGAGGTACGTCGGCCTACAATAATATTATACAATAGAATTTACATTGTTACAAATAATGAAGGGCAAAATGCCCATGGCCCAAAGGGCGGTTACCAACACTTGTTCATTCAAGTAATTACTTCAAAGGTGAATCGTTCAACTCAAAGACTTTGTCGCACGAACCGTTTTCGAAATGAATATAAGCATATCCTGTCAATAACATGTCAATTTTGCCTACTTATTATGATTCGCTCAATACAATAAAATGTACCAAAATCCAATCTGGATCAGTAGTGGGGATACAGACAGCTTTTGCTTTCAACCAACCAATCCAACGACGATGCGGAAAATTCGTGTTAAAATGCACTTATAAGCCCCACCCAGTTATATCCATATTCCTCATCCAATATATTTTTCATTATTAAAAATAAAATAGCGTTCAACTAGTCGGGAGGAATCTTCTTGCGTATTCCATTATTATTAACTAATTTCGTCCAAGAAAAAAATTTAAGAGAACAATATAGTTATTAACATGTTTCAGAACGGATATATATGGCTTATTTATCTCCAGAAAAATTGAGAAGCAAACCCGATTTGGATTTAAAAAATAATACGTTTGATATGAAGGATGAATATCTAGAAAGTATTGACCACACCAAATTTCTAATTGATATTTTCAGAAGTGAGCGAGATAATTTTATTAATAGATAAAAATAATTAAACTTTGACCCCCTGTAGATCCGCTACTGATCGAGATTGGACTCATGTTAATATAAACTTTTGTAGAAATTTTTAATACAAAAAATCAAAAATGTGATATAATTTGATTATTTTTTTTACCCCTACTTATCATTCTTCTGATCCATGACCTATGGGACACCCTGTATTGGATTGTTTGAATGAGAAACTTTTGGAATGTTCATCAAGGAAAGGTGCTAGACTGCTAAACGATTTCTTGTGACCAGAAATATAACAATCCTAAACCACCTATCGTAAGCAAAATAATTTTAATTGAATAAAAAAATTCATATCAATTCAGGAGCTGCGGAAAGATAAATAAAAAAGAATAGGTATAACCGGTTTAACACATGGTTACTTCTGGATATAATGAAGTTATTCTACCATTCAAAAAATCGGAAATATTATGTAGATTTCAATACAGAAATAGAATTTCTGATAATTATATCTATCTATATGTAAGTCTCGCGTGCCTCAAATCTTATGATCTAATCATATTTCTATACGTTGTCAATCACGCCTTCTCATTCAATTATTCAAACAACGTCCTGTGTATCAGAAATAAATAGGTAGTCTATTAATCGATGCCGAAAATACTCATCACAAGGAGAACTTGACATTTGCTCGGCATTTGTTACACCGCGAGGTATCATGGAATCTTGTAATTTCTTCACACATTATGATGAGAAGTTCATTCCACATTCATCATACTCATGCGAGAATCATCAAAAATTTCATTCATCAGCATATTTGACAAGAAGTTTATAATTAGTTCATGATCACATCATCATAATATTTGTCACCTGATTTCAGAATCAATGTTATAATGGAATTATTTTTAATGGTAACGTGACAATGTTCTCTATTCACTAATAGGCATTGCTGGGTTGTTGACTAATAATTGAATCATTTTGATTAATTCACTTCATCACTCAGCTGTAGCAGATACAAAAATAAGTTCAAGTACAAGGTACCCCACTACGCCAAGAGGCATTTTTTGTCAGTAGCTCTCCGAGCCTGCGACGCCCGACATCTTGAAAGTGACTTAACAAACGTTATTCGAGTACCCGGAAAAATAAAAACCCGCCAAAATGCCGTTCAATGTTATGATACAGTTATGCAAGATCACAAGATCCAGTAAGTTGTTCCAGAGGAACTTTTACTTACCTTTGTTGAAACCTCTGTCGCCGAAAGATGCCCTGAGACGCCATATCATCACCGGAAAAAATGTCATCTCCAAAACCGAGCACTACATACCCGTTCTCGAGGAATACCAAGCTAGAGTTGCCAGAAGAAAGTACATGCCGAGAGGACTGGGGAAGAAAAGACAGCGAAAGAAAGCCAGCATGAAATACGTGACGCCGTTTTTGGACGAAGATCTAGATGGCCACACCCGTCTTAGGAATATGTTTGCCAGAAAATCCAAGGGTCGAGGTCAGTGTTATACTTACTACGTTCCGGACAAAAACTGCACCCTAGTTGTCCCCTATCAAATGGAACGGGCCATACGAGACAAAGACATCGTAGATGTTATAATGGCCCAATGGACCGAGAAAATCGTGGTGATTCTGAGAGACAACTCCAAAATCACCCTACCGCTAGTCACCTACGATGGCACCTCGCCCTTCTACAGAGGAGAGGGTTGGACCAGGAAAGAAATCGAAGAAACACACCACCACGGCAGAGACACCATGTCCACGGCTCGACTTTTCGAAGCCAAGGAATCGGGAGTGGCGGAATGGGAACTAGAGATGATGAGGATGGCTTCCAAACGCAAGAAGAAGAACAGGGGAGAGGGGCATGCCGACTGGAAGGCCATGATGGCCGCTCAGGCCGACAATATAGATTGGAATAAGTTCGAGGATGACGCCCAACAGATGGTCCAAGAGCAAAATGACCCGGTGGACGACGAACCTATCCAGATGGAAGTCGACGATATGGAGAAGACTCGAAACGTACTCGAAAAGTTGAGGAATGCTGGAGATGACGTGCTGAGCCTGTTGCCGATGATGCCGGAGATCCCGGAGATCATCAATATCATCAAAGAAGAGGGCGAATTGGTGGAGATAGCGAACATTTCTGGTTTGAAGATCGAATTGCGGTCGAACAAAAGGGAGCGCTTTGTTCCCGGTCAGATGGTCAAGTCCGAGGACGGTGACTTGTTCGTGCCCGGGCAAACCATGACGTCAGAGGAGGGGGTGGAGGAGTACACCCCTGGATTCACGGTGATGCTGGACGACGAACCAACGCTCATCCCGGGTTTGGTAATGGGCGACGATCCAAATAAAGCTGTCTTTCTGCCAGGGGAATCCACGATCACGCAATCTGGCGAGCTTCAATTCACCGAAACCGAAGACGATTACAGAATCGAGGAGTCCCCACCTGAGCCGGAGCCCGAGCCGGAGATAGAGGAGGTCGAATTGGAGGAGGAGCAAAACAGCGAGGAAGAGGAGATCGAGGCCCGACCGCCCCCGAAACGAGAAAAGAAGGAGTTAGTTTACGAGAGGCCGAAGCGACAGTTCACAGAGAATATGGGTCCCAAACACCGTGAAAGAGGCCCGAAAAAAGCCCCGAAAACGCAGTCTCAAGTGCCCGCCGTCGAGCCGACTGATTCCGCTTTGAAACGCAGCCCTACGGAATCAGTTCTCTATGATCTAACAGTGCCCCTTTTGGAGAAAGACTTGCTGTTGCAGCAGAAGGAACGCGTGGAAATTTTCACCGAGAAAAAGGCCAAGGAAGAGGTGTCGATCGATAAGAAGCGGAGAGAGATAAAACTCAAGGTGAAACAGATGATAGATAACAAACCGCCAAAGCCGAAGTACGTGCCTTTAGAGCCAGTGAAGAAAAGTGAAAAATTGAAGGAGCTCGAAAAAAGCATTAAAAGAGGTAAATTCTTTGACGTTGATCATAAGAAATACCTGAACAAGGAGAGACCGGTGGCTTTCAATTGGCTCGAGCGAGCTGAGTACGGGAGCATTTTTGATACGGTGGGGATTATGCGCCACCGTTTATGGAAGTCAGTCATCTAGCCTGATGGGCAGCTGCCAATTAGGACAGTCCATTGTGCTATTTTGATATCGTCAATCGGGCCATGCATCGATTACACTCAGTGCTCATCCGCATATATCGAAATCCATCCGCATTCGTTAGTATCTAGTTCATTATCGCTGCTCAGCTCGATACGCGCGTGGACTTAGCTAGTATTCCTATAGTTTATTTGTCTTTTTGAATCCTTACGTGTGATTGACTTTCGAATAGCCATCGACTTTGCGGCCTCGAGATGACCATCAACGTCAAGATTTCCCTTTGTAGAATTACAAGAGCTAGCAAGCTCTTCCAAAGAAACTACTACCTTCCTCTGCTCAAACCCCTTTCTCCTAAAGATGCTCTTCGAAGAAAAATTATTACTGGCCAGAACGTTTTGGGAGCCAGGATCGAACATTACATCCCGGTTCTCAAACCGCACGACGAGAAACAGGCCGAAAGGAAAAGACGAGGCAAAGGAGTACCAGTCATCAAGAAACGTATCCGCAAACATGAGAAAGAACGATATGTCGAACCCTTTTTCGATGAAAACATGGAAAACCACGGCCTTCTCCAAAACATCCTTCGTCGTAAACCGAAAGGTAAGGGCCAACATTACATCTACGAAGTGATAGACAAGAACTGCAACCTGGTCATCGATTCCCAAATGGAAAGGGCCTTGAAAGACAAGGACATCCTGGATATAACCATGGCCCAACGTAGCGAGAAAATTGTAGTCAAACTAGCCAATGGGATCAAGGTCACCCTACCCGTAGCACCCTTTAACGAACACGTACCCCTTTACCGTGGTAGCGGATGGACGAAAGAATTCGTCGAACAGGAACATCACCATGGCAAGGAAACCATGACGATCGCCAAAATGTTCGAGGCCAAAGAATCCGGTGTGGAAGACTGGGAATTGGAAATGATGAGACTGGCCAATAAGCGAAAGAAGAAGAACAAGGGCGATGACCACGCTGACTGGAAAGAAATGCTTTCCGGCTGTCTGGAAAACATGGACTGGGATAAGTTTGAGGACGACACGAAACAAATCGTGGAAGAACAAGAAGAAGTCGTAGAAGAAGAGAATATCCCGATGGAAGTCAACGATATGGAGAAAACCACTAACGTCGCCGAGAAACTGAAGCAAGGTGGCTCGGAAGTGCTCAACCAGCTTCCGATCATGAAAGAAATCCCGGAGGTCATCAAGAACCTCGAAACAGGTGACATGTGCGAGCTGCAAAACGTTTCCGGGGTCAGAATGACCCTGCCGAGCAGCGGAAAAGAGTGTTTCATTACAGGCCAAATGGTCAAAACGGACGAAAACGAAGTATTCGTGCCTGGCCAGACCATCCTCAGTGAAGACGGCGCTTCTAACTACACCCCGGGCATCACCATCTTAGACAACAACGAGCCTACTCTGATCCCCGGCCTGGTGATGGGCGAGGAGGAAACAGCTCCTGTTTTCCTTCCCGGAGAGTCGACTATTACCGAAGAGGGCCAGCTGAAATTCGAGGCGACCGAAGAGGATTTGCCTAGGCGCAGGCAGCGTACCCCCTCTGACAGCCCCCCACCACCTCCCAGACCCAAACCTAAGCCAAAAGTCGAGGAGGAGATTGTCATTCGTCGGCGAGTGTTCGACGAACCGCAAGAACCTGAGCGCAAGGAAAGAGTCAAGAAGAGACCGCCAATAGAGGTGAAACGTGAGTTGACTCCTCCTAGAGAAGTCTTCAGGCCGCAACGTCAACCAATGGAGGACCCGCTGAAGCTATTGGAGGAGAACAGGAGGAAGCGCGAGGAAGAAGAGAAGAAGAGGATGAAGGATCGGCTGGAGGAGAAGATACTGAAGGAGGAATCCAAGGTCGACAAGTTGCGATTGGACATGAGGAGGAAGTTCAAGGATCTTAAGTTCGAGAAGCCTAAAGCGTACGTTCCTTGCGAGCCAGTGAAGAAGAGCCAGAAGTTGGAAGAGCTGGAGAAGAGTATAAGGAAAGGTACGTTCTTCGACGACGATAAGACGAAGGATATTTTGGAAAAGGCGAAGAGCGCGACGAGAATGCTGAAATACCAGCATGTCATGAACCAGTTCGCGAACGATTTTGGGAGACGGTTTTAGCCGAGCATCTCGCCTAAGAGGAGCGACGCCGATGCCGATGCCAGTCAGTCACACCGCGACGACGCGATGGTAACACCTTGCGCCGAGAAGTCGATTCAAATACGATCGTCATTTTTTTGATTTGTTTTAGTTCATTTATTTTTTTGTTACTCATAGTGCAGTGCCTTCACTTCTTAAATCATTTCGTTAATTTGAATCATCCTTTGTATTCGTTCGCCATATTCTGAAATTAAATAATCTTTAAACTTGTGTGTTGAATTTTCTGCAACATGGTCAACTACGTATTGTCTTTTTGCAAAATTACTGGAGCCAGTAAGATTTTCAAAAGAAACTTTTATCTACCTCTGCTCAAGCCTGCTACCCCTAAAGATGCTTTACGTACTTTGAGGATAACCGGCAAATGGCTCCTTGGAGCTAAAGTGCAACACTACATCCCAGTGCTGTTGCATCATTCTGAGAAAAGGTCAGACAGTTCAGACGATTTTGGCAAACAACCCCATTGTAAATCAGGTGACTACACTTACATGACTCCTAATTTAGATCCTGAAAATGATAGCCACAAAATTATTCTGAAAATTCTCGAGAGTAAAAAAAGAAGAGGGTCATTTGCTTATACAGTCGAGGACAAAAAATACAACATAGTTTTTGACTCTGATTTCGAGGATGCCATTAGAAACGGCGATATCCTAGATGTTCTAGTATCACAAAAAAATGATAAAATTATAGTCAAACTGAAAGACAGAAAAAAGATTCCGGTAGAAATACAATACTTTGAGGGTAACCAAGATGACCTTTACTGTGGTGAAGGAGCTACAAGCCCAGAAGAAGAAAAATTCCACCATCACGGTAAGTACACGATGAGTCTTGCTAAAATATTCGAGGAAAAAGAGATGCGAGAGGAAAAGTGGGAAGAGGAACTGAAAAAAATAATGAAGCGTAGGAAGAAACAAAAATGGGAAAACTCCAAAGCGTACAAGGAAATGATGAAACGCAACATGAAAAACTTGAACTGGAACAAATTCGAGGAAGAAGCTAAGAAACTCATCGATGACCTTGAGGAGCCAGGTACTGAAAAACCGATAGAGATGGAAGTAGACGATTTAGACGCGACGAAGAATGTCAACGAAACTATATTAAGACGTGGCCCAGAATTGCTCAACCAGCTTCCTACTCTCACAGAGATTCCAGATCTAATTAAGAACATGGGCAGTGCCAGCTTACATGAAATAGAAGACATTCCTGATGAACAAAATGAATCGACAAGGAAAGTCTCTGGCATCAAAGTCACCCTACCATCAGGAAAAGAATGCTTCGTAAGCGGACAAATGGTCTTAACCGAAGAAGGTGAAGTTTTCGTTCCAGGGCAAACTGTACAGGGCGAATACGGCGATGAATACGTACCTGGTATCACAACCAACGTGGGCAATCAACCTACTTTAGTAGGGGGGTTGATTATGGGAGAAGAGCAAAGAGATCCTATGTTCCTACCGTCTCAGTCTGCTATAACTTCTGATGGTCAACTTACTTTCGCTACGGTACCAGAGGAACGTCCAGTACCGTTGCCAGAAAGCGAAAGAAAACTGGAGAGAAAGAAAAAGATCAAGGAAGAAATTCCACTAGAAAATCTGTATGACAATTTCCAGGTAATTCTCATTGACGATGATTTTTCTGAGGATCTTTCAGAGTCAGAAGAGAAGTCTATGGACGAGTCCAGTATAGAACTGAATAATTCTGAGATTGAAGAGCTAGATATGGAAGCTATACGATTGAAGCAAGAAGAGCATAGAGCCCAAATGGAGAAATTGCAGCAACATTTGTTCGATGATTTGACTGACATTATTTCTAATCTAGAAGATAAAAAAGCTGAGTTGAATAGAAAGCTCGACGAATTGAGGAAACAGCACATGGTGAACCAAAATAATCTTGTAACTTATGTTAATGAGAAAGACGCTCTAGAAATAGCCGAGAGAATCTCTACGGATAAGGACTCTATAAATAGGCTGGTAGACATACTTTTGACAATGACTAGGAGATCATCGACTTTCAGAGATAAAAATAACGTAAGGACCGACAACATAGATGCGAGTTATTTGAACGATAATGCAAACGATTTCGAACTGGCATTGCACTCTTGTTCAAACAAACTAAAAGTTTTATTCAAAACAGCACTGGTAGCTGCTAATGACGTCTTCAAAAATAGACCGAAAGATCAGCTATTGGCTTTACATACCATGGGAAAAATTCTCACTGAACCGCTGAAGAATGACATAAAATTATTGTTAGAACTCACGAACCTCATGAAGACTCAGATGGATAGAGATGAAATATGCAATACAGCGTTGAAAATTCTCAGTAGAGTTGTTGAAGACACCAAAGTAGCTACTTTGAACTCAATTCTGGAAAATCCGATGTCGGTACAGGACGTACTAGAAAGTATAGAGAAAATCCTTGGGAACGATAATGTGATGCACATTTCTTTTTCAAAACTTGCAAAATTGAATTCCGAAATCGTGAAATCTATGATAGAAAATATCGAAGACCAGAGAAGCGAGTTGACTTCCGAGGAAGCAGCTGTAAGAGTACTGCAATCCTCGATTGTACACGCTACCAAAATACTGATGAACAAGAACCTTGAAAAGTGGAAGAACAGCAACAGTTATTCGGAGCTCATCGAAGAAGCAGCCAGCTTTGCCAAAGCACTCAGCCTGGAAGACCTCATAGAAGATTTTTCGAAACCAATAAACGAACATGTCTTCGAAGAATCCATAGAAATGATCAGGAGAATGACCATCATCAGGCAGCTAGCAGAAAGGGACTATTCCTTGAAAACAGCGATCACTAGGATCAAGAAAAATCCAGAATGCGCCAAGTCTGACCCCAGGATCCGGCAATTGATAAGAGAAAGTGCAGTTCTGATTTCCAATCCGGCACCTTTGCTGACCTCCAGGACCATACCGTTGCAGCTCATGAAGAAGCAGAACCTTCTGGCTATCGAGGATTTCTTGGTGAAGAGAACCACTGTGGATTATCCTGTATTGATTTCCAGAGGTAGCATGCAAGCTGTTATTCCTATGGACGCTTCCAGAGGAGTACTAGCCGGTAGAGTACCTTACGTGCTCATCGACGAGAGTGGTGTTACCAATTTCAAGCCAATGCATATGAAAGCGGCCATTCAAGTGAACAAAACTCGCGAAAAAATGATTGATGACTATCTCGGTGTTGCTCGTGAAAAGTCAGCGGAAAAAGAGGAATCCTCGGCTTATTTGAAAGCCAAAAGCAATGTAAGGAAATTGAAGAAAATGTTTAACCATCGCAACTGTGCATGATCCGTATTAAAAATAAAATTGTACATAAGAAATATGTGTGTGTGTATGTAATGCGTGATGTGAAAAATCGTATCTAAGATACTAATTAGTCCTTGATATACTTATGTATTTTTTTCTACACCTGTGTGTATACTTGGACCCGGTGTGAATAAATAGACAGTTATATTCGAAAACAGAGATCTCACACGGTCATATAATTTTGATACATTTTATAAACATTGATTTGGCCACCTACACGAACCGCATGGGAGTATTTTCGGAACAGTCTTTCAAAGGTGAGTCACGGAAATGTTTTCCAAGATTTGAGCTTTCATTCATTTAGGAACGTTTTCGAGTTATTTTTATATATCTGTTGGACTATCTGCTATTAACGAATTTTATGGTTTTATGAGTGGTTTAGTCATAACAATGATAATAATATAACCAAATCACACTTGATATCCATATACAGTTATATCTTTCCCCGTGTGGGAATTTTTTCGTTACTTCTCAAAGACCACAAATTTAGCAATGATGCAAAATGCAAGAAAATGATAGTTTGGTTGTTGCTCAATATTTCGCAAAAATGATAGACATATGATTTTTTTTTTTGTTTTCAGTAAAATCTTAATCTGATAGGATATAACCATTTGAAATTCAAATTACTAGATGGAATATATGGAAACTTTTATACATTTTCCAAATTAGAAAAAGCAATATTTCAAGACATGCAATGGAATATAGTGTGTCCATTTAGTGCGTAATTCTTCGATATCTCGGAATCAATTATCACAAGAGAAAAACTTTGGAAAAAAAACTTTTTCAGTTACTAAAGTTGCTCATTTCGAAAATATTTCCAACAATACTGGGTGTCTTATAAAAGCGGGGCAACTCGAAGACAAGTTTTTTCAAATGGAACACCCAGTATTGTTCACTCGAAATTTATCCCGCTTAAGTTCAGCTCTACATCGCTGTAAAAAAAATTCAATTCGGTTGCGGCGTTGCCAAGTTATAATTGATAAACCCATTTTTACTTATATTGAAGGGTCACGTTCAATTGGGTATGGTATATTTATTGATTGAAATTTCGAAAATATTTTTGGCATACAGTAGTAGCAAGGTCTCACGTATACCAATCCAGTGATCTTGCGAGATAATCCTCTACAGGGTGCTGAAATTTACATTCTGAATATTGTAAGATTCAGACGACGATCATAAGAATTTTTCAAATGGAACACCCTGTATTTTTCATCACGGATTTATTTCGACATCATTCGCCTTTTCATCGCAGAAGAAAAAATCAAAATCGGTTGCGGCGTTTTCAAGTTATGAGTAATTTCCTTATTTTTACTACTATTTCGGCGTAATTTGTACGTCATGATGGTTTCTTAATTTGATTTGAGTGTGGAAATATTGCTTGCCACATGACATTCGAGGTTCTACATAGATCATTCAGGTATTTTTGTGATATGTGCATCGTCCAAATTTGTTATATTCCGTAATCTTGTTTATTTAACTATACGTATAAATACAAGGTATTTTTGTAGCAGGTCAAAGAAAAGGAACATTTGTAAGGTCCTGTAATAGGTCCTAACTCCACATAAAATCAATTACATATGTATAAGTACAACATGAATCCACTACGTGTGTATTAAAATAAAAAATATTATTATTATAAAATTATATGTAGATATTGAAATGAAATTATTATATATATATACCTATAAACTAGTACTTCTATTATTTCAGGTATTAGTACGCATATCGCTGACAGGTGTGTCCATATACTCCTGAATTGAATAGAACCCATTTTCTGAAAGAAATCTTTTTAATATTTTTTTGAAGCAAGGCGTGTTTAGAATCTTCCAACTGGATGGTAATTTATTATAGAGAGCAACATCTAGGGAATTTTTCGAAGATTTATTTAATCTAAATCTATGTGGTCTGAGATGCCCAGCACCGCGAGTGTTATATTCATGAAAGTTTGAATTTTCACTCAGTTCATTATTCCTATTATGAATTTCTAGTATTTGGTGGAAAATATAAAGAGCAGGTAGTGTCATGACTTTGAATTTCTGGAATAAAGGTTTACAATGGTCTCTGAAGGCAACATTAGCAATAATTCGAATAGCTTTTTTTTGAAGCTGAAATACTTTGATAGAATCAGATGCATTACCCCATAAAATTACCCCATAAGAAATATGCGAGTGAATGAAGGCATAATAGATATTCATTAGTGTGTCAGAACTTATTACATTTTTCAGTTGTCTCAGAATAAAAATCGAGCTTGAAAGTTTAGAGCAGAGCTTCTCGATGTGAAACGACCAATTCAGAGACGGATCTAAAAAAATTTCTAAAAGTTTTGTGGGTTCATTGGTTCTTGTTGCCTGTGAAGAAAATGTTATATGGTTCGTTTTGCTTGCGTTGAGTTTCAGACTGTTTGCTGCAAACCAACATTCTGCATTATTTTCAGTAGCTTCATTTATTGTTTTCTCGTTTATATTTTGGTGAAAAATAGTGGTGTCATCTGCGAACATGATACAGGTTGAGTCAACTAAATGATAAAATAAGTCGTTTACGTAAATGATAAATAGAAGGGGCCCCAGCACAGAGCCCTGCGGTACCCCATATTTCATTGCTACTGTTTCTGACGTGATACCATTGAAGCACACTGACTATATAGAAAAAATATCAAATTTTCACTTATCTTTGGACGTTTCGGGACCGGTTCTGCTCCCGTTTTCAACATGAAAAGAGATTGTTTCAATAGCGAAGTCGTATAATATGTCTTGAAGCTTTTCAGTTTTCAATGACAATTGGTGACAGTAAATTGGATGAAATTTGATAGTACTGCATTTTAGAGGATAGCTCTTATTTCACTGATCGAAGAATCCCGAGAGATAATGTAAAAGGGTTGAAACCACCCTAACCCCGTGACATTTTTGGTCGGAACTTTCTTAGGAGTTTTAATAGGGTTCTCAATTTTTTTTCAATGAGATGACTGATTGATTATCTTCATTTTGTAACTATTGTTACTGTTCCGAAAAAAAAATGTTTTCCTAAATAATGCAGACAGATATTCCTAGTAAGAGTTTGATATCAATACAGGGTGTCCCGAAATTAGCCTGTCAAACTTCACCAGTGGCATCTACGACTAACAATGAGAAGAAAAGTTTCAATTAACATGAGTCGATAAATGTCTTCCAAGGGAGCTACGGCCCCCTGAAAGGGGTCTCTAATTTCGGGACACCCTGTATTATTATCAAACTTTAACTAGGAATATCTGTTGACATTATTTGAGGAAACATTTTTTTAGGAAACAGGCGTAATACGAAATTTTCACAAGAACAACAAAATGAAGATAATAAATCATTCATCTCGGTAAAAAAAATTGAGAACCCTATTACCACTCACTGGAATGATCTGAAAAAAAAAATGATAGGGGGTGAGGGTAGTTTCAACCCTTCTACAATATCTCTCGAAAATCTTCGATCACTAGAAGAAGAGTTATCCTTTAAAAGCACTACTGTCAAATTTCATACAATTTGTTCCACTCATTTTCGAACAGCGTACAAAAATGTGTTTTTTTATATAAACTTTGAACTCGTCCCACGGACAACCGGTACATTTTTTTATATAAATTAGTTGGATCTAATCATTTTATTTTGAACTGAATTACAACGTGGTAGCTCTGTGTCCCAGCAATTTTGGTACACCCTGTATGATGATGAAATATCAAACTTTTTTCCCGTCACAGAAAAAACGATGGAAATTACACTATTGGCACCAACTAAAAGCAAAAGTGCTACTTCATTTTTGTTTAATTTCCATTCTGGATTGAAATATAAGTACGGTTGATTCAGTCAAATAATGGTTTATTTACATTGAACATCAAAGATGAGATCAAAGCCGCTTTACGAAAGTAGAATCAAATTTTCTCGACAATGTTTCATCCGCCAAAATCAAAGTAACATATTGTCCCCTGCCATTTCAGTGACATTTATCGGTGTCAACAATAAATTATTATACAGTGCACCGCGTGTGCATTGGCAGAAATCCAGGAGCTGTTCGTTTCATTATTATTACATATCAACGAAATGCAACGTAACTGTCATACGCTTATTAGAACATCGGTAAGGCTATCAAAAAGCAGTTATTGTTATAAAGTGGGACAAATGATATGTTTTGGCAGGCGCGCCATTTTCTCACATTATTTAGGTTTCCAATGTTGATATTCCACGATAATCCGAGAAGTAATTCGGGTATGTACACATGCCATAAAATAAGCGAAATGGGTCACGACGTTCGGCATTATTTGTATGAATTCGTGCCAAAAGATTTGGTGTACACCCCAATCAGCACCAGACATCTTAAAGACGTACATTTTACGACTTACTTACGTCTTTACGTCCAGGGACGTATAAAGTACGTCTTTAAGATGTAAATCCATGTACATCTTAAAGACGTACACGAATTTACGTCTTTAAGACGTACATTTTAGGTCGTATCCACGTCGTTCCTCCCATGTCGTATAAAAGACGTATTAAAGACGTACATTCCAGTACGTCAATTCGACTCATAGAACAATAATGTAAGTTATTTTCTGAAGAAAAACAAAATATCATCTCTTCACGTTTTTCATTTTCAATTGTTCAGTTTTTTCTTATTTTCAACAAAAGTGATGTTTTTGAATTTTTTCGTCCGACATTTTGGAGCCTTCGTGCTAGATTCTCGAATTTTTACAAAAAAATCATATTCTCCGACCCCAAAAGTCCCATAGTGATCAATTTTGAATAAAATCGGACTATAATCACAAAACTCGTCCGCCATTTTGAAGCTGACATCTTGGATTTTTCATTTTCGACAAAAGGAATTATAATCTCTGATCCCGGAATCCTTCAGATGCCAATTTTGGGTCAGATCAGACCATAATCAGAAAACCATATGCCACATTGGATTCACCATCTTGAATATTG